TTCAATATTTTCTTGTACCCACTGGAGTGCCAACCGCTGATCTTTTAAGCCTTGGTTGCCAGGCATCACACTGTCTTCAATACTTAGAAATCCAAACACTCCAAGGCGGTACTGAATAGTGACTAAAACAATGTCTTCATCCATGAATTTTTCGGGGCCGTAAGAATCGATAGAGGCCGAACCGCCATAAAATCCTCCACCGTGAATGTACACCATGACTGGAAGTGATCGGTTCTTTGATTCTTCTGTCGTAAAAACATTTAGGTACAAACAATCTTCATCTCCCCCAGGCTTGAGTTGCACACACATCTTACCTTCTTCTATAGCATCTCTTATTCCATCCCACTTAGCATGAGGTTGTGGGGGCATGAAGCGAAGAGGTCCAGTGGGCGGCGCAGCAAATGGAACTCCAAGAAAGGCTTGGAATATTCTTCCATTTTCCGATGTCATATATTTTCCCCGTAGTAAACCGTCTGTAGTACGCACAGTTGGAATCTCATCTGAGTTTATCGCCCCAATTACATTAAGAGAAACAATTAAAATGATTAGCCTTATCATCATGTATAAAATTTGAAATGAGCAAAAAAATTGTGAAATAATGAACACAATGGTTGGCTGCAAGTCAGTGTTTCACTTCATTAGAGTTTGAGCACAGAAACAACGATAAAAATATGTAAATGAAAGTCGATCTAATGCCATGTAATCAGTTCAGGGTGAACCCTTGGTGATTGAGATGATCGGATAAAACATTATGTATGCATGGTCAATAGGAGGAAGTTAATGCAAGTATGGAAAATAATATGTGTGAAATTCCACTAGTTAAATTATGAGTATTTTAGCGAGTAGCTAACACTCACACAGAAGTTGCTAGTAGATCTACATAAAACTAAAAAGCTCTCCGATTTTAATGAAATTTTGATAAACCAGTTAAAAAACATATATTTGGATGACTTTGTACTTTTCTTCCCCACATTTCAACAGCATTTACTAACCTTTGTTTCCTTTTTAAATAAGCTAAACACATTTTACTATTCCATTCTATGCCTTTTCTATGTCCAGTAGATTTCCAAAGATGCTTGGTTATAAATACTTTAAATCTGTAATTTTTTCACTTTAGGCTATTTATTCTATGAATACAACTTTTTTTAAGAATGAAAATAAAGTACCGTACTCCTTTCTCATTATCTAAGCTGGGCATGGATCTAAATGTTATTCCTAGTATTATACACACTTTGAATAAGCACAGTTAACAAGACAACTAGGAACTTATGAACTGTACTATATTTACTATATGTTAAAATTGACATCATTAAAATAAATTATGGAGATGAAAAAGTCAGGAATAGTTCAAGATGTTTTTTTACCTAGTCAACAATTTTTTATATCACTCATCAATAAAAATTATGGTTGATTATGCCACCCAATCGTCATAAGAACACTTTTAAAAGAATATTCTGTGCCTCGTAATGAATATATTTTTTCCTTTGTTCGGTTCTGTAATGTTTTTTGTTCAAACACTAAAATAAACCCAACTTTCTTTACAAATGTACACACCTGCAGTAATTATGCAGTATTTTGCTAGCAGCTTGAGGCGAAAGAAAATAAGTCGGTGTGAATAACACAGTCTGCTTGCATTCTATTTCTCACGGAACTCTACAACAATATAAAACGTTAAGTTACAATAAGACAATTTATTTTCTAATGGATTGCTTTATAGGGCCTAGCCTAAAAGTGGATTTTAGCACTTTAATTTGGTGTTTTCTTTGTGCCTTGAAAAATAAATAAGTTATGTAATATGGTAGATCCATATTCCTCACCTATCATAGCATTCTAGTGTGTATATATATTTTATATATATGTGTACATGTGTAAATTTAAAACAGTGTAAATATAGTGGATTATTCATAATGAGTGAACATATTCATACATATGCATCAGTAAAAACAATTTCTAGTCTCTTCAGCTGTGTTGGCAACCCTGACAAGGTGTAATAGATTGAAATTGCAACTGCCATTGCCATTTCTCCAGTGAAATTTTCTACTTTTGTGTTGTATATTTTATGTGTCTCTATGGACTTATTTGGTAAGCCTGCTTTCCTGTCAATTTCCTTAATAATTCCTGGCAAATGTCCTATCTTTTTATCAGATAACATTTATGTAATATGGTTATTTTGTGTACATTGATTAATAAACTACATACAAATAGAAAATGGTTTTGTTTGTGTTACTATGTTTGCAAATTTTACATTTACCCAGATTACCCTCAAGTATTTTTACTCTTTCTATACATAATTATTTTGGTTAGTTCATAAATTTTAAATGTTATAAACCATAACAAGATTTCTCCAAAATTGTAACCGGCTTGTAAAAATATCGTTGTTAGAGAGAAACTCAGTTCTAATATGAATACAACTAGAGCGATTCCTGTCTGATTTTTCCCATTTAAAATCCTTGCTGCCAGGTGCTTGTGGATTTCTACTGATAGAAAAAGGAGTTGGGTCTCCATAAGTGGCAAAATTTACCCACAAGTCTACCATCAGTTCAGATATAGTTTTGTCAACTGTATTTAAATCTCCAAAGTATTTAGAATGTTTGAATAGTGAAATAAGGTCATCGAGATGACTCACCCCAAAACCACGAGGACTATTATAAATGTCTACGTAAGAAAATTCACCAAGATGGTCGTAAATGTAGCAGTACAATGTTCCGTTGTGTCTCCTCGCTGACTCCTCCAGAGGCCACAGGTACCACCAATCAGTATACATCTTCTCCATCGAAGCAACTGTTTCATGTCTTGTTGTAGAGTTTTTGAAAAAGAACTTGTGGATTTCTTTTTCAATATCACTAGCGTTTAAAAACAAATCCTCAAAAAGTAAAGCTTTACTGAGGTAATTCGTAGGATCACTTTGAATCTTTTCTATGGTGTAATTCAAATACTTTATTGGAATATCTAATATTCCCTCATTTGCAGTAACACCCAAGAGCCAGGATTTATGAGTTGTTGCGAGAAATGGATTTTGTGCAATGAAAGCGTTGTCATGATCTATTTCGACAACTGGACGAAAAATGCTCTTCATCATAGCATATCTAGAATTTTGCAGCACTCTGTGTGCGTCTTCAATTTCTTGAGTATTTTTTAGTTGTAAACAAATGATAAGTTCCCTCAAATCTGTGCAGTTTAATTGTTCGGCAAATTGTAACATGGATCTTTTAGCAGTGCCTTTCCCAGTAAGTGCAAAAGCAGTCAGGGCTGTTCCGCTTTGGGAGATTCCTTTTGCAAACAAATGCTGGCTCATCGGTGATTGCATATGTAAATGGACGGAAGAAGCTCCAACGCTGCTTCCAAACAAGGTCACTCTCTCGGGGTCACCTCCAAAAAACCGAATGTTGTCTCGCACCCATGTCAACGCCATCACCTGGTCTTTCAAGCCCATATTGCCAGGAATCACAGAGTCTCCGGAACTCAAGAATCCGAACGGCCCGAGACGATATTGCACTGTTACCAACACTATATCTTTGTCCATGAAGTATTCTGGTCCTGTCAACCCTAATGTTGAGGAACCCATGTAGAAAGCTCCTCCGTGGATAAAAAACATGACAGGCATTAGAGTTCCGTTTGTCATTAGATGGCTGAAAACGTTAACAAAAAGGCAATCTTCTTTACCTCCATATTTACCCTGTGAGCAGATTTTTTCTTCTTCTATGGCGTCCTTAACTCCTTCCCATCTTGTTGGAGGTTCTGGTGACTTAAAGCGAAGATTTCCTATCGGTGGTGCTGCGTAGGGAATTCCGAGAAACGATGAAAACTCTCTTCCACTACGAGAAGTATTGTATTTCCCCTTGATGTAACCATAGTTTGTTTTGACTATGGGAAAATCACAGGTCACTAATGAAAAATAGGTCACCAATGTTAACACACAACTCCAGGTGAACATTTTTCCACCATAAACAAAAGTTCAATCTTCAAAATTAGAAAATAATAGCTAGTCAGAAACTTTGATGAGGAGCAAAATTAGGTGTGTAACATCAACATTGTATGTAGATACGTATGATTCGACACTTTTAAGTTGACTGTTTAAACTAGTTACATTTTAAATTTTCAATTCGTGATTTTCTTAAAACATTCAGGGTTGGACATTAACTATTAACTTTTGAACTAATCTGTCTAGTAACACCATTTTTATGAGTGTTTCAAAATATATAAATTTTGTAAAGGTTCTCACTTTTTAAATAATACACATGTTTTGGCTTTTTATCATTCTAGGCCTACTTTATATTATTGATGAACGGACATCATAGTTATGTATTTTATGCAATTTGTTATGAGAATACATCTTAATGAAATATACCCCGCTGCAGGAAACCTGCAGACTAAGCAAATTTCCTTTTGCCTGATTGGATTTTCACTAAAATATTTCCTGAAAGATGTCAGATTTAACTCCAGTTTCAATGCAATTCGGTTTAACAAGTACTTAGGTTTGGTGCTACAGGTAAGGGAAGAAGTCTTTTTTGATAAAATGAGTAGTATGAAATAAATGCATTTTTTCAAATTTAATCAAAATATATCTATGAACAACAACAACAACTGTTTACTTTTTTCCATAAGAATAACATGGTAATTCTTCCTGTAACCATTATCATTGACTATATAACACTACGTCAATGCCATTATTGTAAGACAACACTTCAATATACAAAACTATTTGCTTTTAAGCTCTAAACAAAAATGTTATTAAGTATTTGTGAAATATTTTGTTTTGAGCGTGAAAAGATTTAAAATACATTTTTTATAACCCAATAATTCTAGTTCTCAAACTTGTTGATGGTGTTTTTTGCTTCTGAGAACATAAAATTTGTTTTTTAATTGATCCGTATCTAGGTATTACTATGAGACAATAGCTCATTGCTATGTATGAATTTCGCTAATAACAAGGTCAGATCTGTTCACCAACAAACCAAACCTTGATATTAAAGACGATTAAAGTGACCTCTTTCCCGTAGGCTGACAGTGGAAGATTCTGACCATGAGAAGAACTCTACAGTAGCCAACATCACAGTACTGCAGATGCCAGATTATCCTCCAGTGGCCAATGCAGGCCAAGACGTGATACTCTACCTGCCTCACAATAATGTCACTCTCAACGGCAGTCTCAGTTCAGACGACAAGGCCATCGTCAGCTGGGAGTGGACGAAAAGCCCGTCTGACCAGGATAAAGCTGTTGACATGCAGGTTAGTTCAATTGTAAAACTTTGAATTTTAAAAACTTTATTCTCTGTTTTTCTAGAGTGTATTTTTATTTTTCCTTAATTTTAAAATATTATTTTCAAAATATTGTTATACTTTAAAGTGGTTTAAATAACTGTGTAAAGTAATCCTTAATTGCTGTGGTGACTTTATGCAGGTATTTAAACCATTTTAAAGTATAAAAAAACAGTAATCCAGAGGCTACCCAACTGAAAATATTCTCCTACTGTTAAAAGAAAATATTTCTCAGTATTGTTAAAAACTATTTTGAATTTATTTATTATGATTTTGCTAGAGGAGTAGCCTACAGAGATATACTAAAAGTAGTTTAAATACCTGTATTATCAGTAATCCTATTGGTTTTACCTTTATAACCAGTCCAACCGGTTGCAGTGGTAACTAGTTTTGGCTTGCTTTGCAGCCATCATCTGCATTTCAAGGATGGGAACATTAAAAACACACACTCATTAAAAACAAACACGTGTGACTAGAACTCGACCGGCAGGAGTTTATGTTGTAGTACAACTGTTGTCATACATGTTGAGTGTTTGTTTTTAATGCGTGTTGAATATGACTACCTTAAGAAGAACCGATGCTCCGACAAAATAAAAATAAATTCTAATGTCATTATTTATGTCTCAGTTATAAAGTGTTAGATTGTGACTCCCTCTCGATTATCTTTAACTCTGTTTTGTTGATGACTATTTTGTTATATTCTACTTATCTTGTAGAGCCAAATGAAAAATGATTCTTCATGTAATTTTGACACCACTACACCGTTTCAAAAGTAATGGTAAAGATTTAGTTTTTCTTTATCTTTTGCCACAGAAAACACGCACCCCTTACCTCGAGCTGTCCAATCTGGAGGAGGGGATGTACACGTTCATACTGAAAGTGACTGATGAAGCCGATCAGTCGGACACTTCAACTGTTCATGTGTTTGTCAAACCTCCCACCAACAAACCACCGTCTGGTGAGTGAACCATATTCATATTAACATTTAAGCATGGTACCGTAGTTGTATGATTGAAACTCCTAAATTGTGCTGTCATAGACGTGTGTCATTATTTAATGTAGGGTAAATAATACTATTACTGAAGTTTTCCTCAATGTTCAATTGGGAAATAAAATATTGTTTCATTTCCTGTTATTTTAGTTACAGAACTTTCATTAGAACTATTTGTACGAAAAATGAAATAACTATCCCGCTGATCGTGTATTCTTATTGACGGTGAGCATCACAAAATAACATAGTACAGCACACTCCAGATTAACCGAGGTTGTTGGGACTGAGACTACCTCGGTTACCGAGAATCTCGGATGACATGGAGGTCTCTTAGATTTTGAGGTTAGGGGTTACAGTACCACATTAGGAAGTCAAAGACTTATAATGTATATAATTTAATAACAATGCATAGTGAATTTAAATGCAAAATGATAGTAGTTGGTATTTTGATGGAAAATGTAATAAGGCAGTGTTATTAATGTAAACATCAACTCAAACATGCTTACACTTCTTATATTGTCTTGTAAAACTGTACATACAGTATTATTAAATTATTCCAAGTCAACACTCTACAGGATTAAATAAAAACAGAATAAGGTGGGTCCTTATAGTTTTTAAAGTGTAAAATTAATCTTTGTTTGAGTTTAACTTGAACTATACTTGACATGATCATGTCAATATTAAAAGATTGTAATGAAAATCGCTGTCAAAACGCGATAGGAGCTGGCAATGCCCGAGCAGAAATGCTACTGATTTTTTGACGTTCTGCAGACGACTCATCCACCTTACCAATAGTTACCGGCCAACCTAGTACTGTGTGTGATTTTCATTTTCTAAGTTATTGTAGATCATTAGTATGTTAAAACAATATCTGTGATCATTAATTATTATATAAAGTATTAATTTGAGAAATCCCAAATTGCATGATATTATTACTTTAACTTCAACAGAAATATCATAAAAATAAAATCATTGTTTCCTGGCCGTATTTAGGCCTAAAATGACCTCGGATGACCCGAGGGCTCCGATAACCGTGTCTCGGATAGTCGAGAGTGTACTGTACCTTGGTGAAAGATTACTGAGGTCTGAGAATACAATTATTATAACGTTATCTTAACAGTTAGAATGAACAAGTGAAATAACATTGAAAGTATCTTCTTATAAACGGGGAGCATTACGAAATAATATAACCATCCTGCTGATCGTGTCTTCTTATTGACAGCGAACATCACAAAATAATATAATACCTTGGTGAAAGATTACTGAGAATACGATTATATTATTACGTCGTCTTAACAGTTAGAACAAGTGAATTAAAAAAAAACCTAATAACAGCAACCAAAAACGTTCTTGATAAGGAAGTAATAGTGACAAAAATAATAGTATTGCCAAAAATCCAAGGAACGTTCCTGTTATTGCAAAGTAACGTAGTTTCTTACCTCTATTGACCTACAGAAGTTTTTATTAAATCCCAAGGCAAAGTTTTAATTTTTTTAAATCCATGTTAAAAAATCACTTTGAAACTACACAACACTTCACTCTGAATGATTCTTCTCTACCTCCAATCTTCTTGTTTTCAGCTAATGCCGGAACGAACATAACTGTCTCACTGCCTCAAACTACCGTACTATTGGATGGAAGCAAAAGTTCTGATGATATTAAAATTGTCTCTTGGAGTTGGGAAATGGTCAGGTAGGGGTTTGAATGTGTAATTTAAAAATATATTTTAGCTAGGCATCGAATATTTTTGTTATGTTTAAAATGTCATGACAAATGACGTGAACCATCTCCACAAATAAAAAAAAATCAATCATCAGATCATTATTTAGTATTTTCATTATTAAGTATTTTTGTAGTGATAACTGAATAAAGTGTCAAATTATGAGCTATGTCAGTTGAAATTAGTTGTAAATAAAGAAAATATGGGCATCTATATACAAACAAGTAGGCCATTTAGAAAATAATTAAATTAAGTTTTTGTTTTTTACATGTCATTTTAATGATTTAGCTTTAATCATACTACTTGTCTAACTTTTGCTTCTAATGTGTTTAATCCTAATTAAAATAAACTATTGTCTTCTGTTTTGTCTGCTCCATAACCATAACTTTTGGGTAATCGACTCCCCATAGAAAACTTTAGAAGATTTACTATGCTTATTGCACTATTTTAACTAGACATTGCAACATTGTTTAAATGGTTTGGAGATATGCAAACCTTTTAGGTTGAAGATCTAACAATCAAATCAAAATGTTTGATTTGACATTTTCTCTCCCTCCAATCACTCCAAAGTCTCAAAATCAGTGGTCAAATATGAGAGGATATAATGGCTACCACCTCAGCGTAGTAAATAAAAATAACAATTAGTATCTTACTTACTTACTTACTGCTGTGGCCACTGGTACCCTAGATGGTACTTGGCCTCCCCAACACAATTAGTATCACTTTTACAAAATCTATTTTCCATCAAAGCGATGACGTTGACTCATATGGCATAGCCTAGATCAAAGGCGTGGTCTTAATCTCTTGAAATACTTCTCAAAAGCTCATTATTTCATAAACTCAATGTAAATACTTTAATTTTGTATACTTTCATTTAACAGTGGTCCAGGCAATGTGGAGTTCAGTGCGCACAACGAGAGTGTTACCAACGTGACCGGACTCACTAAGGGGCAGTACGTGTTCAAACTGACGGTGACGGACGGTAACGGCAACATCGCCACTAACACTGTCGGAGTCACTGTTACCCAGAGTGAGTAAATCTTGTTTCTCTTACGAGTGATTTGAGATTATAGTTTCAATCCTAGAAGCGCTATGGCCTAAGCCTTTTTCTACCATAAACGCTAAGGGGTTGTAAAAGTTGGCTTTATTTCATTTTAAGTTAAAATATTTGTACTAACCTACCAAAATCTTACTGAGTGCGGTTATTATTTTACCTCTATCTGTAATGTAAATCATTAGGCTAATCAACAAATTGCAGACTCTCAGGATTTCAAGGGGATTATGAAAAATTCAAAAATTAGAGATATCAAAGAATTTAAGATATTAAGGTTCCAGTTATTGAGGTGCTTCTGTACAACTAATGGCACAAATTTCTCGGTACTGGATTGTCTGTATAAAGGGTCGGATAACTGAAGAACATGTAGCTACTACTCTGTGTATTACCATCCATTTTGAGATGATTATTATACTATCCATTTAAAGTTGAAACAGGAAGCAAGTTGGTCTGGTACAGCACAGCGCAGAACTTTGGTCCATGAGGTCCTGGGTTCAAATCCTGCAATCACCAATGCATTCTTATCTAATAATGATGTGAACAATTAGGCCTAAGTAATGGGAAAATAGTTCCTATTAGAGGCTAGCGTACTAGAACGTGAATGTGCAACAGCAAAAGATGAAGTTGTATTTTTTCCGCAGACAGTAACTCCCCGCCCAAGGCCAATGCAGGAGGAGACCACACTGTAGAACTGCCTGTAGACGTGCTCGTACTCAACGGGTCTCAGTCCCGGGATGACCTGGCTATAGCCAAGTGGCTGTGGACCCGGGAACCCACTAGCCTCGCTATCGGCACCATCATAGCCGGCACCGACACTTCACCAACCCTCATGGTGAGTACTTAAACAATTTTGTACAGTTGCATTTTCAAGCAAGCCTTGAAGTAAGTAGCTATCAGTATTTTTGACTACACTAGGGGCCACGAGAGTCTGCAGTTGGCGGCAGCCAATAGCAAGACTGGACTAGCGCGACGTTGTAACATCGCCCGTTCACTAATTTTCGACTCTAATTAAAATATACTAAACAATATTTTCAAATCAGCTGGTATTATTAGATTTGGCAACACCACACTGTCCTTATTGGCTCCTTCAAAGTCACGTGGTAAATAGGCTCCTCCCTCAACTACAGACTCTCTTGAACTGTTCTCGTACTGTAGGACTACAGTTTTGATACAAAGTGACATTTGGTTCACTTCAATTAGTTTGCAATACAGCTGATTGCTCAACATTTTACTTTGTCCACTAAATGCTCACTAATTACCCTCACACTGGACAACTGAACAAAACAAACTTTAGGCTATGTTTATTAATTGTATGGTTATCAACAGAAAATGGATTGTATAAAGATTAAATTAATTCTTGCTTGTAAAATGTAATAAAGGAACAAATAAACGTTTTATTAGTTAAACAATGAAGTAGTTATTATTTATGAAGTTAACAGTTTGTAAATGAAGAGTATCTTAGTATTAGTAGTAAGTTGAAAAGTTGTAAATTACATTGTTTGTTACGTCGCCTCAAAAATACAGCTTAGCTAAACATCCTAACCTCAATGTTGTAAGAACCTTTTTGAGCACAATTATTTTGTTGCTTTCACATTCAAAACTGTTGACAAAATATTGTGCATTTCAAGATGAAAGTCTTTTTTAAACTCAATAAAATACGGACAAGCCTCGTAGGTCTCAAAAGATTTTTCTCGTTTAAAAATGTGCCACTTTGCGTAAATAACTTGACTCTGGTATATTCCCTCTAAGTTATTTGATACTCACATCCTTCATTTATACATAGTTTGAATGTATAAACCAGTACAACTTTGGTTAGGGCTTGATTCTTTTCTTGCCTTCCAGTTGACCAACGTTGTGGCTGGGCGTTACTTGTTCCGTCTGAGAGTTACGGATGAACAAGGAGAATGGGACGAAGACACTGTCTCTGTCATTGTTAAACCAGGTCAGCAAACCATCAATATTTATAAGGAATGACCATGTGTGTGTTTATTTTCAAAATCTAATTGATGTTTTTAATCTGTAGTAGCAAGGCAACGTAAGTTATTACATGAAGTTTAAACTAACGTATTTGTTTGGCTATCTTTTCTGAATTTACGTATTTTCCTCACAGCTTGGATTGAAAAATTATTCATTTTCTAAAATCTCTTTGAAGTTTTTGAATTTTACTTTCTTGTGTACACTAAAACCTTCTGAATATGACTAATTTGTTGTTGTCAGATAAGGTAGTATAAAAAATATAGCCTATATGTATTCTTGAAAAACATTTTTCCAAGGCTTGTATGTTTGTTCTTAGTTAGGTCTAGTTTATATTAATAGTAGAGTGAAAACTCACTAACCTGACAGTCAACATGTGACAGGAAGGACGCACATAAAAAAGTTTTTTATCAGAGCATTTAGTTTCAATTGTTGAAAGTTTGACATTTCTTTGAAGGTTTGCTTACTCAATATGTGAAAATATGCAGGTTTTCTTTTACTTTATTTAATTTACAATCTGTTCAAGCTGAACAATAAGCAAATGATATAAATAGTAATACAAAAATAACTTGAAGAACATGAGCTAGTGATTGACCACTGTCAACACTAGCTAACAAAGACAATTTTGATAACACTTAGCCGAATCTGAATGGTAGGTCCAATATCGTATGTCGCTTCAGTCTCTAAATGGTGTTGTGATTGTCCAATAAATTAAGTGCAAGATGATTTGAATGATTTTCCAATTTTATAATGTATTTTTCACTAGATTTTGTAATTTCTTCTTTGACTGTTCGAATTTGTAGATCATTGTGAAGTGTTTGGTAACAAACCAAGGAGCGTTGACAATTTTACGTAATAATTTTGATTGGTAACGTTGAATAATTTCAATGTTTGAGGTACTTGCTGATCCCCAAAGCTGAATACCATAAGTCCAAATTGGTTTTAGAACTGTTTAAAACCCCATTATGAACTACAACGTTCTAGATAACTCAACAAAATCTGGGTCCACAAATAGTTGAGTTGAGTTAGTGAGGTTTTGCTGTACCATTAACCCTTTAGAGGTGACCTCACAGAGTTTTCACATGGTAACATATATATTCAAACTGTTTGTCCATGAATTCTTTACCCAAGAAAAAACTCTGTGAGTGTTCACTGTTTCAAAATCAATTTAAGGTGTGGAGGGTTAAAATATAAATTAATGAGTAAAATCCTATATTCACATAACATGAGTATATATTAGTATATAATTTCTATATACAAATAAACCTATAGAATCAGGATCGAGAATCAATATCACAGAATCGGAACAGGAATCGTTATTGAAAAACGGGAATCGGCCCATCCATAGTTTAATCATAACCTAGAGATAAATAAAGCTGGTATGTGTTGACAGATCCCCATCTGTACCACCTGGTAGAGTTGACTCTCAACATTGAGTCTAGTCAGCTGACCAAGTCCCGCAGTGACTCTGTTGTCATGAAGCTGGGACTGCTGCTGCGGGATGCAGCTAGTCTGGTTGTTAGAGCTCTGCAGACTGAGGTAATTGTCTGCAATATTGTGATTAAGGTCGAGGAATTGGAATATAACAATGTTGTCTTGTGACCAGTTTTTGTTGTTTTGTGTATGTAATCATGTTGTTAATTTTGTAAGGTACTTTCTCTATGTTTGTTGTTTTTATATTAAACTCTATGACGAGTTGGATTTTTGTAAACAAAAAACAATTGTGTGACAGAGTACAGTAGATGGTAGGAATGTAAATATTTAATGTAGAAGAAGAGTTAAAGATTGAAAGTGAACTGTAAAGTTTTATATTTAACTGTTAACATTTAAGACGGTAAATATAAGTAATAGAGTATATTACGTTACTAGTCCGTGAAATAGGTGTTCACCGTGTAAGTATGGTCGACTTGACTTTGTCTCGCGCGGGATTACCATCCTCAAAAATGTTTCAAGAAACATTTGAGGTATAAATAAAAAAAACACAAAATGGCCTATATCTAGCTAAAAAAGTTTATTCTGGTTTTCGTTTTATTTTGACTCATCAAACCAGTATTCCTAAATTTATTGGTACGTGTCTAAGGGACACCCTGTACTGTATACATTTAATTTTGTGTTCTCATTGTGCTGATATTCTGTTATCTTATATGAAATTTATTACAGTACTCACCTTTTTTCTAAAATTCTAGCATGTATTATATTGGTAGATTGATTACAAGGTTTTATCAGTCTTCTTCTTCGGTCCCCAGGCAGCGACTGGTAGAGCAGTCCTGGTGTTCTATGTGACAACCTCCCACGGCGCTCTGCCCGGTCCCTCGGTGGTGCGAACGCTGCGTAATAAGTTGGCGCAAGACTCTGTGTTGTTACAGCTCAGTGTCGCCAACATCCAGACAACAGTCTGCCAAAACAATTGTTCAGGTCAGTTAGACAGTTTGCCGGGTTACTCAAAGCTGTTTTACAATGACTTACTTTTACTTTCTCCCCCTATACATAGTATATGGAGACAGTATTGTTTCCCTCAACATTTTTTAGTTGAGTTTTGGGGGGATATACATTTTTGCTGTAATTTTTGATTCCTCTGAACCCAAAATGTAGTTTTCAAAGTGTGTCTGTGTGTGTAGATGTGTACAGAGCTACAGACTACACCTGTGGTTGGATTGTGGTGGAATTTGGTACAGTATGTGGGTACTAAACCATGGTATCTCCAGGCAATATTTTCATTTGTTTAATGGTGTTTCTTAATAGTAATTTTTCCATAAAAAACAATTTTGATTTATTGTGTAATGGCCCTTTGAACTCTAAACAAAATGGTACAACCACCAATGCTGTAAAAATCACAGTTGTAAAGATGTTGCAATTTTACTCATAAAATGTCACAGTTACTCCCACCACTTAGCAATTAGTTTTTGACAAGCTAATGAGAGAATTTGTCATTGTATGAGTTTTTAAAATCTAGCACCATAACATCACAAAAATATGCCTTTTTGTGGTGGCTATTAAAGAATGTCTCTTATTTAGGAAAAAAATAATCACATGTCAAATAGATATCAAAGTTAACTTCAATAGTTTACAGCCAAACAAACACAGACTTTCCCTTATAAATTTAACAGAATGTGTTTGTTGCAGGCCACGGAGTGTGTGACCAGGCCACTAGACAATGTATGTGCGAGGCTTTCTGGATGCAGGATTTGTTCCGGAAACATTTTGGAGACGGTGACTCCAACTGTGGTAAAAATTGTAGTATTTTTTATCTGCGGAAAAATCTCTATCTTAAAACTTTATTGGTACTAATTTAGTAATTATTTTTAGTTCAAAATGTTGTTAAACTGAAACTCCTGCCCTTCTTATTGAAAAAAGGTGTTCCAAAATTTTACCAAAACACTCCTTATGTTTTTACTATGTGTAAAGTTAAAAACTAAATATTTTGTCAAAAACATTTTTTTTTTATAGTATTTATTTACTTGACTGTAAATTGTATTTTACTTTTACAGTACTACAGTAAGGCTATTCCTTCTAACATCCCTTTTCTAGCTGTCCTATTTAACTGATTTTTACGATGAGGTATCATTTTAAAGCTTATTACCTAGCGGAGAGACGAATGGTAACTAAAAAGGTAGTTTTCTTCAGGGCCTCACCCTCTTGCGTTTGATTTATTTCTAGAGATTTATTTATTAGAGTTCACTTTAAATATTTCTGACTTTTATATAAAGGTTTAATTATGAATTATAATTTAATAGCTTATCGTTCTGTTGAGTGTCTAACCACAATCAGAATGTAAACAAGAGACCAAACAGTTTATGTACGTATGTATTTTAAATATTTTTTTATTTAATTGTGTTGTCACAGAGGTAGGTAAATCACTCTTTACAGTGTAGATCTAAAATAAAAAAGTAATTTAATTCATCGTAGGTTAGTAGTTTTATTCATCTAATGTCTTACAGCAAACCACTTAATACAGTATTTGAACATTAAAAGGGTATTGCATTATTGATTTTGCCTCAGAAACCAGTTTTGACTTTTCTCAGAATTGAACCGGCTTACCGATTGTTATGCAAACATTTTATCCACTCAGCTACCCAGCTAAGTTGTTATTTATGATGTATTAATATGATTTATTTTCTATTACTGAATCTCATTTTCCAGACTGGAGTATCCTGTACGTAGTGATTGCACTGTTCACATGTTTCGTATGTGTGGTTGGCTGTGTTTGGGGCCTCGTGTGTGTCTGCTCTAGACTCTGCCTCTGTTGCCAACGTCCTTCCAAGAGGCAGCGTTATGCCTTACTAGACAATAACGAAGACTCACGCTGTAAGATTTTAGTTACGCTTTTCTAGACAATAATGAAGATTCAAATTAAGCTGGGAAACAGGTAAAATAGAAACAGAAAATAATATAACATGAATTATATTATTTTCTGTTACTATTTCACCTGTTTCCAAGTTTTTTCTGGTTATATTTATGTTGTGTGAAAATAAATGCAAGTGTCTTCAGTTAAGTACAAACAAAAGTGAAACAACAAGACTATTAGCAATGTTGAATTATGTTACAGTGCCTTTGGGGAAAGTGATGGTGTCGGAAAGCGAGTCGGACTCAGATATTTTATTCGAGAGCCGCAAACCGAACAAATTGACGAACGGAGATGCCCGCAACGGGGTGAAGAACAATCGACCAATGACAGGGTTCAAGATGGAGAGGAGAGTAAAGACCTAACTATTTGTGATACAAATTTTTAATGTGATGGAAGTAGTTTTAAGCCTAAGAATATTTATTGACTTGTTTAACAGTACTCTCTTTCAAAAGGATGCACAATAATGTTTTAACTCGTTTTTCATCTACTTATCAAAAGATAGTATTTTAATTTTATACTGAGTTGGTAGGCTAGTACGATTTATTTATTCCAGAAAGGAATAACATAATCTATAATATTAAAACGAAACAGTGTTTTTTTATTTCACGATTCTGAATCAACCACTCGACGGATTTTCATGATTTTTGTGTTGAAAGAAAGATAATTTTGAGAACTAGGGAATGTCGAAGCCATAAATTTAGTTTAGGGTCCCAGTTTTTTAGAAATTTAGTTTTAATTTTTCAAAAGTCTAGCAGCCGACGCTAAGATTCTAAACTACCTTTTGGCATAAAATAATTTGCTTAACATAACAGCTGTAAGCATTCAGCTTTTGTGTCACAAATTCAGCATTTGGATAGAAATGTAAAGACATACTTAGGGTTGACTTATTTATACTATGTGTAATGCAAATCATTGAAACGTTCAATTCTTTTGTAAGAGGATGACAGATTAATTAAATTATACATAGTAAAATACTAGAATGTTCAAAATATGTTTTTAAAGCAATCATTGTAATCTTCGATTTGTTTTAGAGCAATATAATTTGTTTTAACAAACAGCTGGTTAAATATAAACTATGGAACTAGGAGGTTATTTTATTTACTCTAATTTTGTCATTGATTATGGGAAATAAGTAAGATTAGTAGAGATAATTAGACCACAGTTTAAAATAGTTTAGACCAAAATTAATTAAACCACAGTACAAATCGAGGCTCTGTACACGAGTCGTAATAAAAAAAGGATAAATGCAAATTATTTTACTATTCCACTTTTCGAGGAAAGAATAGAAAAATAGCAATTTTTACATGTTTTAATTCTTCATGGTAGCTTTTTGTTTACAATTAATGTTTTGTCTGCTTTAACTTTGTTTGGATTAGGCCCGGAAATATTGATGTCATAAAAAGAAGATCAAGAATAATCAGGAATCACGATTTTAAATTACCACCACAACCTCAGCCGAGTTTTATACAAAGATTGAACACAACGTCAACATTGACCTAGGATACTGCAATTAGACAAACTATCCTTTTATGAAATAGTGTTCAGTTGTGGTTACGTTTGGGGGTGCCTATATCAGCGCCCCAAACGTGAAAATATCGCTTTTATTTCAACTATGAATATATTGTAGTTTAAATTAAGTAATATGGGAAATTACGATGTACATTTATTCAATGAGGGTGGGTAATTATCATGGATAGAACTGATAACGGTATGGATAATAAACATTGACAATTACGTCATTAGCTTTACTAGCTTTTTATATTCCTGCTACATGTGACCAGTTCTTTTTTTCAAATGAATGTTATTTGAACCAAACAGCTGTTTCAAAACAAACTGTTATTGTTTTTACTTTTCTTTGTTTACACTTATTTATTTAGCAATTAATGCAGTGAAATATATATAAAGGATAGGCGTGACGATTAGTTTTGATGTTAGAACACCAAAGTTAAATTATGTGTACTGTGAATTTTATTGGATATTATCGTTTTATTTTAGGTTGTTTCTATTCAGACCTACTGGAAATTGTGTATAGTAGTTGTATTGTGGTGATAATAATTATGGAAGAGGCAGGTATGCTATGGAAGGTGGTATCATTGACTAAGTCTATACACTTCTCAATTGACTATTACTCTCTCTACTGTAGTAGGCTACTTATAATCAGTGTGCTTCGTGCGAATCGGCTGCAAATCTCACTTCAACGCTTTTCACATCGTAAAAATTGCAGAATTGCTGTTTTATTGTAAAATTATCGGATTTAAAATGCATATCGTATAGGCCTATGATGGAATAAAAACATATTTGGTCACACAACATTTGTTTACAAGATGATTTTTCACATTAAAACTGCAAGAAACTTTGTCTTTATATGTGTAAACTAGCTGATCTGAATTGTACACGGTTTTAACTGACTACTGAATTCCCGTACGTAGGACGGGCTAACACCTCGTTATTGGTAAATCCATTTTAAGTTTCACTTTTAGCTTGTTTCACCTTGGTCGTTAAGCTAGAGCTCGGGCCAAAACAAGTCACTTGAAGCCCTTGTCATCAAATTATTTTTAGTTTTTAATAATGATTGTAACTGAGAGTTTAACTCAAACCATCAATTATTAATATTTAGTGACTTAAATGAACTAATCATTACAACAATTTCTTTTTATCGAAAGGCGTGGAGGTTTAGTGATTTAGGCTGACAAGGTGAATGTCGTGCGGGTGTTATAGGCACTGATCTCCCTTGCTGGATTTGGCCGCCAGGATAACACATTGTGTATTAATTGGTGTCGATAAATGCAGCCGTAATAGAACAGCTAGAATAACCTGCACACAAGATTAGGTTAGATCAATTGGACAGAGATATTGATTGTAAAACAAGGGTATTTTGTTCAACTTCAGTTAGCTGTGACTTCAAATAGGGAAGATAACCAAACTGACGTAAAAATAGTTACCTACAAAAAACCAAGGCCCTACTAGAAAAACAGGCCATGCTGCAGCGCAGGCAGCACAATAATATGTCACGGTGGTGGATAGTTGTACTAAAATATTGCCGTTAAAATTTGACAAACCGAGCTCATTTACCTAAAACATATGATATATGGCAGTGAATCTATCGGGGTAGCAGATTTTTATCTCCTTGGGCAAAAATGACGTCACAAACCAGGGGGTAAAATTCCAGCCACAAACTTGAGTTGCACATCAGTTCGATGGATTAAAGGTGGAATTAAATTTATATTTTCACGGTTGTGAATATAATCAGAACACACCAAATTATAAAAACCTAGAGTGGCCCGGATTTTTTAGTGGCCCCTGGCATATAGAAATAAGTGAGAATGATTAATTTTCTTTTTTAGTTTTATTTTAATAAAATAGTAAACATTTTATTATTAAGTAGCTTATCTTAATTTATTTGTAACTTTAACTAAACAAACAGGTTTTGAATTTTAATTTTAATATTCGAGTTTTGGGATTTGACTTTTGGGGCCAACTGCTGGGTAATATGTATATACAAACATTTGGGTTTCCTTGCAGTTTAGTCAACACAATAATCGGTCGAATACTTTGTACCGGATGCCTACAACTACATTCAACCAATTATCATTTTAATGAGATACTCAGTTTATTATACATACATATTAAAAAACAGTTGGTCCCAAACCGAAATCCCGAATATCGAAATTAAACAGCGAAACCTGTTTCCTTAGTTGAGATTACAAATAGGCTACTTAATAATAAAATGTTTACTATTAAATTAAAACTGACAAAAAGACTTCCAAATCCGCGGGGGTAAAATTCCGCCCTCAACAGTCATAGTGACGTCAGCTTTGCCCAGGGGGATGAAATTCCGGGGACCCAATCTATCCAAAAGTGTGACGTCATGGATCCTGTGCAGCATGGCCTGTTTTTCTAGTGGAGCCTTGCCAAAACTTAAGAGGAGTGACATCTATGTTCAAGTAATTAGTTTATATGATGGATAACACTCTGGACGTGTAGTATTTTTACATCTTAGAAGTATTATATTATTTATATCACAATATTTGTGTCCTTGGTAAGTTTTATTGCATTTATATTTTGTTTGTTTCACCTTAGTTAAGATTTGTATTAATTTGAATACAATATATCAACTGTGCTAGTCATGACATACCAGGTGTATTTTGCTGTAGCCTACTTACGGTAACCAACGAATGGTGTGTGATTCATTTACATTATGTAAACTATGTAAATAAATTATTGATTTGTAATAAATGTGATGTATATATGGCTAAAATGTGTTTTGTTTCACCACAAATATTTTTCATTTAAGTCTACAAGTGAAGGTCTCTAGACCTAGATCGGCTTGACTCCATATGCAAACAAATACAGTAAACCCTAATTTTTCATTGACAAGCCTGTGGATCCCAACAGCTGAAGAAGAACTTCTGAAGAAGAAAGGGAAAAGCAATGAATAGACAGTAGTGAGTGATGTGTCGAAACCGAATCTCAAAACCATCAAAACTTTGGAAAAGTTTCGGTTTTGAGATTCGAGATTCAAAAGTTTTGAAATTTTGCTGACATATTTTGCGTCATTATTATTGTCTCTAAAACTGTTTCCACTTTCCACACAAGCTGGTAGCAATAGATCAATCAGATCACCATTAACAGTAATGCAAACAGTAAATTGTATTCTGATTCTGAACTTCAAGAGACATCTTAAATACTATAACTGGAAAAACATACAACTCAGATGTTATTATGTCAGTGTCAGAAGACCTCTTTCAATTTGATTGCATACAGTACTTAACATTTTATTATTACCTGTATTTTTTTTGTAACCTTAACCCTTGTAACCAGCAAAGTAAAAAAGTTTCGCGTTTAGGTTTTGAGATTCGAGATTCGATTTTTTTAAGTTTCGGTTTTGGTTTTGAGATTAGAAAATTCTGGTTTTGACCATCACTAATAGACAGAACAAATTATGTTTGACTATTGAAACAGGTTAATTACATCCTATCCACATGGTGAAACTGATTGGTAAACTGCAAACTACCATTTAAGTTTTACAGTATGTCTCCTCTTGAGAGGGTTCCACCAGCCGGCTGCTACCGAGTAAACATTGTCCCACAAAATAGAACCTCTTGGCATTAATAAAGTGTTTATCGAGTTGAAATGAACTGTAAAATATTCACAAAAATCCAAACTATGTACTTGGCTGAACAGAAACTTTGTAATTGATTCTTTAAGTATTTTCAAATTCATTATGAAAATCCATAAATTAATTTATCCCCATACATTGCAAGCTCTGATATGTTAAGGGCACACAAAAAAAACAATCATTGGAAACAAATTTGTTTTAGAATGTTGGGAGCTTTAACGATACGAGGCATGTTCAATCACGAACTATATTTCAATCCATATAATCCGCCATCTAGAATTGAAATTCAGGCTGCTGGGTAGAACCAGGTCCGTGAAGTTGGCGTACCCATATTAGCGTATCCACTTTTGATCATACCAATCGTTAGTTCATCGTTAGTTCTTGATAGTTCCCAAATTTTGTCGTTAGTTCTCAAAAAATAAAAAAGTTATAGCCGATAATAAGTGGGTACGCTAAAGGCGGGGACACACTTGTCATACACCCTTCCGATCCGACTCCGATCATACTGTGGTACGACTGTCGGAGAGGGGAATGGTACATAACTTTAAACGAGGTTGTTTACACCTCTCCGACACGCGTCACGTCATACTCCGATCCTACTCCGATTTTGGCTCCGATCACGCACCGACACTGCAGTCTATTCGTTTGTCGGATGCAGGATGGGTTGTTTTTTTAAAATCACCTTTATTCTTAAGATTTAAGAATAATGGTTTAAGATAAATATATGCCGATGCTTTATGTGAAATCTGTGCGTGCATACCTTCAATTTGAGACCTCGATCATGAAAATCGGACGGGTAGAAGAGCCAAACGAACTCGAGAGAGCAAACCCAATGTGCTTAATATAAGATGGGCACTTAAGTAAACCACCTAACTTTCTTTCCATACAGAATGAACCCAAATTCTTCGTTTTCCACTTCCCTTCAGAGATGTCTGACTTTCTTCCTCTTCATCTAGACAAACCGCCATCATGGGTGAATCCCGAAGTCTAAAGTTTTTGATCATTTTTACCACCTTCTGCACTTAGTTTACAAATCAGACTGGCAAGTGTTGATCGACCGGTGGAGGAAATCTGAGATGGGTCGGAATCGTGTATGACATGTGTGCTCACCCCCTCCGATCCCGCACCGATCCTTCTGGAATCCCGCAAATCGGATCGTAGTAGGATCGGGAGAGTGTATGACAAGTGTGTCCCCGCCTTAACTTCACACTTCCGGGTTCTAGCGCACGCCGTTTCCTGATTAGAAATGTTTACATCTATATATCAATCGTTAGTTCTCGATAGTTCTCCAATATTAACGTTAGTTCTCAAAAAATAAAAAAGTTACGAGGCAGACAAAGTGGGTACGCCAACTTCACAATTATAGAATTTCCAGCGGGCACACTTTTTTCAATAAAAATGCTTACATCTATATACCAATCGTTAGTTCTTCGTTAGTTCTCGATAGTTCTCCAATATTAACGTTAGTTCTCAAAAAATAAAAAAGTTACGAGGCATACAAAGTGGGTACGCCAACTTCACAATTATAGAATTTCCAGCGGGCACACTTTTTTGAATAAAAATGCTTATATCTATATATCAATCGTTAGTTCTTCGTTAGTTCTCGATAGTTCTCCAATATTAACGTTAGTTCTCAAAAAATAAAAAATTTACGAGGCATACAAAGTGGGTACGCCAACTTCACAATTATAGAATTTCCAGCGGGCACACTTTTTTGAATAAAAATGCTTATATCTATATACCAATCGTTAGTTCTTCGTTAGTTCTCGATAGTTCTCCAATATTAACGTTAGTTCTCAAAAAATAAAAAAGTTACGAGGCATACAAAGTGGGTACGCCAACTTCACAATTATAGAATTTCCAGCGGGCACACTTTTTTGAATAAAAATGCTTATATCTATATACCAATCGTTAGTTCTTCGTTAGTTCTCCAATATTAACGTTAGTTATCAAAAAATAAAAAAGTTACGAGGCATACAAAGTGGGTACGCCAACTTCACAATTATAGAATTTCCAGCGGGCACACTTTTTTGAATAAAAATGCTTATATCTATATACCAATCGTTAGTTCTCGATTTTTCTCAAAAACGTACTATTCTAACTAACTAACTATTCTTTCCAACATTCACAGCATCGTTCTTTAACAGTTTCAAAATACGTTCAAAATTAAAAGTGTTAAGTTATTAATATATACCGAGAATAAATATTGTTATCTTATGATAAATTAGTTATAATAAAATATTAATTGAAATTTAGTTTAATGATTTGAAAAAAGGGGATTTTATTCAAGTTCCATGCCTTTAGCCGGCTCCAGACTGTACCCACGCAAAGTACAGAACAGCAACTCGCCGAATCGCGAGTAGTATGACAGCAAATGCTCCTGCTCGTGTTTTCTGTTCATTGCCGGTATTTTTGCACACATCAAAGTGAAGGAATATTTTTGCCATTCTCGAAACGAACAGTTGGTGGGAAAACAACACATGTGTGTAGACACATGTAGATATAGATATAAGCATTTATAGTCAGAAAACTGTGCCCTCTGGAAATTGTATGATTGTGAAGTTTGCGTACCCACTTTGTATGACTCGTAACTTTTTTTTATTTTTGAGAACTAACGTAAATATTGAAAAACTATCGAGAACTAACAAAGAACTAACGATTGGTATATAGATATAAGCATTTTTATTCAAAAAACTGTGCCCGCTGGAAATTGTATAACTGTGAAGTTAGCGTACCCACTTTGTATGCCTCGTAACTTTTTTATTTTTTGATTACTAACGTTAATATTGGAGAACTATCGAGAACTAACGAAGAACTAACGATTGGTATATAGATATAAACATTTTCAGTCAGAAAACGGTGCCCGCTGGAAATTCTATAATTGTGAAGTTGGCGTACCCACTTTGTATGCCTCGTAACTTTTTTATTTTTTGAGAACTAACGTTAATATTGGAGAACTATCGAGAACTAACGAAGAGCTAACGATTGGTATATAGATATAAGCATTTTTATTCAAAAAACTGTGCCCGCTGGAAATTGTATAACTGTGAAGTTAGCGTACCCACATTGTATGCCTCGTAACTTTTTTATTTTTTGATAACTAACGTTAATATTGGAGAACTATCGAGAACTAACGAAGAACAAACGATTGGTATATAGATATAAGCATTTTTATTCAAAAAAGTGTGCCCGCTGGAAATTCTATAATTGTGAAGTTGGCGTACCCACTTTGTATGCCTCGTAACTTTTTTATTTTTTGAGAACTAACGTTAATATTGGAGAACTATCGAGAACTAACGAAGAACTAACGATTGATATATAGATGTAAACATTTATCATCAGGAAACGGCGTGCGCTAGAACCCGGAAGTGTGAAGTTAGCGTACCCACTTATTATCGGCTATAACTTTTTTATTTTTTGAGAACTAACGACAAAATTTGGGAACTATCGAGAACTAACGATGAACTAACGATTGGAATGATCAAAAGTGGATACGCTAATATGGGTACGCCAACTTCACGGACCTGGTAGAACCCACTTAATAAAACTCATTGGGGTGTTCAATAATTCGACAAATCAACTCTTTGTGGCTTTTACCGGCCCCTTTCAGAAAAATAACAAACTACAAGGAAACAGAAGTGTGTAAAGAAAAAAATGACACAATTGTAGTTTTCCAATTTTTTTGCATTTTTTATTATTTTATCAATAAATTCGTTATATTTTCTAGCATACATCCAAAATACTTAATAAGAAACTTAACACACGTTGCATAGGAATTGAAATTGTCTACATTTAACCAGAAGTTCAACTTAGTTAGCTTAGTTTAGTTTACAAAGAATAATAAATTACGAGGAGAAAACAATAGTTTTAGAAACAGATTTCATATTAATACAAGACAACACCAACTAAATGCACTCGACCTCACACTAATCAGAATTTCACCTTAAAAAAATTACAAAAAGATATATGTTTCAGGACAGTTAAAGATCATCTATAACAAATCACAGAAGTAAAAGTTGCAACCTAAAAGTCACAATTAAAATGGTTTATTTATTACTGTGTACAGAACTACAATTGGAGACACTAAATCGGTACAACAATATAATAGAAAAAATTAAAATTATTTGTATAATTAAGATATAACGACTATAATTAATACATAAGTTTTTTATAAAAAATGAGTGGTTGTTCTATTTGTTTTCATACTCCATCATTTATTTGTTATAATTAATACTGCCATGCAATCATTCTTCAAGCGTCCTCTTCGTCTTCCTCTTCTGAGGAGACTGTTTCCAGCCATGTCAGCCAAGAGTTCACCTAGGACACAAAACATCACACATCAGTCTCCTTTTTCTATTTCTTTAGCCTACTTTTTACCATATCTCCAAGTTCTAGCTCGGAGTCTTCCACATTAATTCAGGCTATGTCTACAGGGGGTCGCAGTCTTATCACTTAAATAAAATGCATTGGTGATTGGCGGGATTTGAACCCAGGGCCTCAGAACATAAAGTTCCACACTCTACCACTAGACTAGTTCGCTTCCCTAACCAAACCATCAACCATCTTAGGGTGTCCACTAAGAGGTTAAAAAAAAAATTGGATTCATATTACTTGCCAATTTTTGTAGGGATGAACATTGAACAGGTCCTGAAATTTCGTGAAATTTTCGGAAAAAAATATTCCTGATTTTTGGGATTGGATTTGATCCGGTTGTCAGCGAGATTGCCGCTTCGCAAGTGACAGTGACGCCGCTATCGCGAGATATATTCACGATCAGGGTGTATACTATTTTATTAAAGTGAAATTCCAGGTTTTTTCCAGGTTTTTTCCTGGTTTTTCAAAGTTTTTCCAGGTTCCCGCGTATCTGTTTGGTTCCACTTAAAGTATACAATACACATCAAATTTGTAACAAAGTCCAGTGAGCTAGTGTTGAAAAAATAATAATCCTTATTATAGTAATAATTTTCATTATCAGCATTACTTAAGGCTACCGGAAACATCGTCTCTCTCGATAGCAGCAAAATCCTGAATATTATCAACATTTTTTATGAACACATTATCTATGGCAACAAAATCCTGAATATTTCCTGCGGTCGTGTGGTCGCTTCCCACAGTGACGTAAACGTCATCACAGTCTTACGTTATCATAGAAAAATCCTGGACATCTCCCGCGGTATGTATACATTATCGCCGTCTCAAAATCCTGGACATCTCCCGCGGTATGTATACATTATCGCCGTCTCTCGCGATCACGGAAACATAATCATCGTCATCCGCGATCGCGGCAAAAGCACGAAAATCTTGCGCGGCCATTTGGACATCATCATTGACTCCCGCGGTCACGGGAGCGTCATCGTTGTCGTCCGCGATCTCGGCAAAATCATGAATATTTCCCGCGGCAGTGTAAACATCATCGTTGATCCCGTGGTCACGTAAACGTCATCGTCGTTGTCCGCGATCGCGGCAAAATGATGAACATCTGCGGCCGTGTAGACATAATCATCGTCGTCTTTCGCGGTCACGGCAAATCACGAATATCTTCCGCGGCCGTGTAGACATCATCATTGCTTCCCGCAGTCATGAAAACGTCATCGTTGTCGTCCGCGATCTCGGCAAAATCATGAATATTTCCCGCGGCAGTGTAAACATCATCGTTAATCCCGTTGTCACGTAAACGTCATCGTCGTCGTCCGAGATCGCGGCAAAATCATGAACATCTGCGGCCGTGTAGACATAATCATCGTCGTCTTTCGCGGTCACGGCAAATCACGAATATCTTCCGCGGCCGTGTAGACATCATCATTGCCTCCCGCAGTCACGGAAACGTCATCATCGTTGTCGTCCGCGATCTCGGCAAAATCATGAATATTTCCCGCGGCAGTGTAAACATCATCGTTAATCCCGTTGTCACGTAAACGTCATCGTCGTCGTCCGAGATCGCGGCAAAATCATGAACATCTGCGGCCGTGTAGACATAATCATCGTCGTCTTTCGCAGTCACGGCAAATCACGAATATCTTCCGCGGCCGTGTAGACATCATCATTGCCTCCCGCGGTCACGGAAACGTCATCGTCGTTTCCCGTGGTCACGGATACGTCATCGTCGTCGGCCGCAATCACGGCAAAATCATGAGCATATCACGCTGCCGTGTAGAAATCATCATCATCGTCTTTTGCGGTCACGGCAAATGACGAAAATCTTCCGCGGCCGTGTAGACATCATTGCCTCTCGTAGTTATCGAGAAACGTCATCGTCGTCGCCCGCTATGTCAGTAAAATCATGAATATTTCCCGCGGCCGTGTCAACGTCATCGTCGTCTCCCGCGGTCACGGAAACGTCATCGTCGTCTCCCGCGGTCACGAAAATGTCCCCCTCCCGTCCATCCCTAAATTTTTGTACAGCAAGTCTTTTGTGGGCAACTGCAAATTTTACTGGTTTGCTTCTAATAAAAATCTATTATATTTATTTATTTATTTATTTATTTATTTACTACATGTCATTACATCATTTTTTGACAGGACATAAAGTCATATACATGATATACTAAAACTAAGAAATAACAAAAATGCCTTACTAAATTATTAATCTAACTTAACGTCCCTATTTAAATAACATTCTATAGAAAAAAAATTTTTTGTTTTTAACCAGGTCTTGTTTTTAACCAGGTTATATTATTAAAGTGATAAAATAACATTTTATGTAAACGGTTAAGGCCATTTACCCAATAAAAATATAGGCATATGGCATATCAAAATGAAGCTTAGAGTGTGTAGATTTACCAAAAATGTTTGGTATGGACGAACTCCCTAAGGGCTCTGCCCCACAGGCTGATTTCCAAAGGGCCTTGCATGTTTTGGAAGTTATTATTCGATTAATTTAGTTAACAACAGCTGGCCAATGCAATTGCCAATATAGTTTGTTTGTTTACATTTTTGTTTACTTATTTTATTATTTACTTTTATGTTCTTAAAAGAAGTGCGGCAAATGGACAGTGAAGCTATTTCTAGCTGTTTGATACAAGTGAGTGAATAAAGGTGTTCGAAACACGACGAATATGAGATTAACAAACCATGTATGTTCTTCGTTCCTAGAGGTTGTCACCGATCTTTAACAGGTCGCAATTTCATTGATAAAGTAACAAAGTATTAAGGTATTAAAGACGTCGTGAAAGAGAGCTGCGTGTTCAGGTACAGCCTCGGCCAACCTAGGATGTAAGGTATGAAGGTTCCACTGCTTTTAACATAATTTCAGATGACAATTTCTCGAACTTGGGCCCTTTAAATGAAACATAAAGTCAAAGTTGATTAAATTAATTTAATGGTGGCTTCTGTTCACCCGTGAATTCGCGGGTAGAACCTCTTGTAACTTTTTAAGTTGTCTGATTTGTATGAACAGTATTGCAAAAATGACCAAATTTTTCCATGTTTATACTGTGATGTAATTGTATGACGTTGCTATACATGTATTTTAGTGTTGATGGCAATAAATGGATTTGATTTTTGATTTGATTCCCCTTAGTTTATTATTGGATTACAGGGTGGGTAATTCTGGGTAGGCAACCTAAAATTGTATAAATATTTCTATTACCAAAAGCACAACCCTTCACTTTCGGCCCATAAAACTTCATACCCCAATCTTAAATTTCAGTAAAGCTATGCGTGCACTAGGGAGGCACGGCGCAGAGGACGGGACGGGACAACCGCACATCAGCAATTTAGTACTGTCTTCGAGCTAAAACTGCGAGTCCGACTTTGATGGAGACCGTGAGAACAGTGAAGAATGGCGGAAGTCCCGTGCCGTTCGCTCGGTTGGTGCGCAGCGTCTGGTCGGTACAGCAGCTTGGGAACGTCCTACAGTTCTGTCTCTCGGACTTTTCAACAAACAGCGGAAGCTGCCGTCCGTGCTGTGCCGCCCTAGTTTGTTCGTAGCTTATAACTGCAGTAGGGAAGATTAGTTTATGTTTTTATGGTTCAAGCAAGATTCTTCAGCTGATTAATGATAAGAAACTGTTAACAGATAGTTTAGATTAAGCCAAGTTAATCTACTTACTAACAAAATTTGTATTTTCTTCATAAAAGTGATTTATTTTTTATGACTCTTAATTTTAATTAATTACCTGAAAGAGAGCCTTTCCTTTTCCTGGATAAGCGTCTGTAATGTCTTCACGCCACTTCAGGAAAGCATCTTCTTCAATCACTTCCAAATCGTACAAATAGACAAACCACTTTAGCAGCATACCTGTAAAATAATACATAATATTTTAACAAATTACTACTAACAGGTTATGTTTTAACAAAGTGCTTTATGAACTTCTTCAAGTATGGTTAAGACTTTTTAGGGAGTTGCGTATACTACTTTACCTACCACAGTTTTTTTATTACTAACAATCACTGACCGTTTTTTAATTAGGTACCAACAATCACTACTCGTAACTTCTAATAGAGGTTATGTTTTTGTTTATAACCTCTCATTGCCATACTGACAGTTATGCAACGACTCATTGTACCAAATACTGATTGCACAGATTATTTAAAATTAAATTTGGGAAACAGCTGATTAGTTGAAGTTCGAAGCTTTACAATTTAACTTCTTTCTCTTAATCCTTCTTTTCCCTCAAACCTCATTGCTACGTTACTCGTGGTGTTATGTAATACAATGCTTTTAAGTGCATTATTCAAACAACCCTCATAGTAATAACCATCACTACCGACAGCGCCTCAAAGCCCAACAACTTTATGCTATTATATAATTAAATCTCTGTAATGTTTGGCGCCTATTCTGTACTCTATGTTCAAGAATAAAGTATTCTGATTCTGATTTTCCAATTCTAATAACTAAATTGAAACAGTTTTTTACTTCTTCATAATATTTTACCAGAATAAGTCATACGTTTTTCCTCCGGTTACCCACTATAATTGTTCAAACCATTTCCTCATACGACTTCCAATTTTAACGTCAAGCCAATGGGAGATAGTAATTGTCAGTTTATTGGCTATAGCTAATACAGTATTTTTATTCTTCAAGTTGCTTTAACCCAGGGTGTCCACAAAAAAATTGTCATTAATTTCCATAACTCAAAAACTTTACTCAAAAATTATAAAATAACATACACACACGAATAATACTGCGTAGACAAGTTATTTCACAGAAAATACTAAATCATGTATTAATGGATAACAATGGAGTACAGTAAGTACAACAATGAACTGATACAAACTCAAAACTCATAGACTAATACAACTGTAATAAATTGAATTGCCGTACATTTATGAAAAATCCTGAAAAATGCCACAATAGTCGGAGTTAAGGCCGACTAGAGCATTGAAAGGTCCCCTCAAATTCATCTATCATTGGGGATTTCCGTGACTTTCAATGATCAGAACTTTTTCCCTGACTTTCCAGAATGTGGACACCCTATTTAACTGCACATTTTCTGATCCAGGGTGTCCACAGAAATTTTGTCATCAATTTCCCTGACTTTCCATGACCATTAACCATTGATTTCCATGACTCACGAACTTAGCTCAAAAATTATAATATTCCGTACACACACAAATAATACTGCCTAGACAAGTTATTTCGCAGAAAATATTGAAATATGTATTAACAGATAACAATGGAGTACAATAGGTACAACAATGAACTAATACAAACTCAAAACCCATCAACTAAGACAACAGTAGGCCTATAAATTGAAATTGTCGTACATTTGTGAAAAATTCGGAAAAATGCTACAATAGTCGCGGTTACGGCCGACTATAGCATTGAAAGGTCCCCTAAAATCCATCCATCATTGGGGATTGCCATGACTTTCCATGACTTTTTGCCTATTTCATGACTTTCAATGACCATAATTTTTTTCCATGACTTTCCATGACTATCCCTGACTTTCCAGAATGTGGACACCCTGTGATCCCTTCTTCTCTGTGAGGATACAAGACTTACCCTTAGGAAAGTCCAGTGAGAAGCAGTAGGTCTGCAGGGCGTAGACTGCCACCACCTGAAGTTCAGTGCGGTTGTTGAGGAAGTGCTCCAACACTGGCTTGAACTTCTCCAAGAGTGCTTTCTCTTTCTCCTGCACCTTGTCTGTTCCACTGGCCTCCTAAAACAAAACACAAACATTCATGAAGATAAGATTTTTTTAATTAAAACATAATGATTATTTCTCTTCCAAGAATTACTGCTGTCGGTGACAGTGAAGAATATTACTAGGTGGCGTTCGCAGGGGCATCCACAAAATTGAGCGGAGTCATCAAGGGTTCATATTATATTGTTTTTGTCATACTGCAGTAAAAACAGTAGTTTTTAATGCATGTGTTGCGGGTCTAAAGTAGCGGGAGTAAAAATCGTTTTTAGCCTCTATGGAGTAAAAATCAGCTGTTGTCAACTCAGTTTGTAAATTTCGATTGTAAACGATTGCATGTATCGAAAATATGTATCGATTCGTGCTTCGTAATCATTTTAACATACAGTCTACAGTCTCTTCTGGTAGCATTTTAGCATTGCAGATACATTAATCCATTCCCAAACCTTAATCTAATCGTCATAAACAGTTCCCACACTCCGGACAGCTCGCTTTGACTACTTCCTTCACCATTTCCTGCGCCGGGGGCCTGTTTTCCTCCCTTCACATACCATTGTAGGATTGCAAATACCTTAATCTAATGGTCACAAACAGATCCCACACCTCGAGCAGCTCGCCTACTACTTCCTTCACCACTTCCTACGTCGTGGACCTGTTTCCTCCCTTCCCATAGAATTTTAGGAATGCAGATACCTTAATCTAATCGCCATAAACAGTTCCCACACTCCAGACTGCTCACCTTTACTACTTCCTTCACCACTTCATACGTCACGGACCTCAAGCTAGTGTCGTCATTTGATTATATTTATGATCCATACCGTTTCTGTTCTCTGTGGAATTATGCTATCAGCTATTTCTTTATCTACCGCATTCAAAAGTCAACAGCTGATCATATGTCTTTGTTAATGTGTCAAATACTGCTTCCATAAGGATTACATTGAAACTTTGAGACCCAGTGGGGCGGATTCCTGAGAGACTTTTTTAACGCCATATAGATGTTGGCACTCACCGATATGGTCTTTATCACCATGCAAAATTTGAAAACGATCAATTCTGCTGTCTAGGAGGAGTTTGCGTATTTCAAAATGCATAAGAGTCGACGTATAAGAGCTTCGCTCGCTCCGCTCAATAACTTTTGTGTACATTGGGAAGTTTAGGTTTTCTCATGCTGAAGTGGACACTTTCCCTTTCAGATAAAAAGAGAAAAAATTGGACTCCTGACCCTGACATAATAACATAAATTTTCTACTACACTTTAAATCTAAAAACATAATTTTTTAAATCATGAAATAAATCCAACTCCAAACACGAATGTGAGATCAATACCTAGTTTTACAAAACGTTTTTGCCAAGTTTTGGCGATTTTCGGATTTGACACAACAATAGTGGTTACACTGCCTACCTGATGAATGTACTTGACGACGACGGTGACCAGGGCAGATATGAAGCCTGTGTCTGTGTGGTGAGCAACCTCCAAGTTCTCCTTGATCCACTTGTAGAGTGCCGAGGGGTTCTGGTCTGCCTCTAACTGCTTCCACAGCTCCGCCTGGATGCGCAACAGTGGACACAGGAAGCCGAGGCCGCGGTCGTCCAGCAGCTCCGACAGACGCTCCTTGGTCCGATCACCCTCGGGGAGTGTCTGCAGTAGGTTCACCTACAAAGGAAACACATGCTGTAGTTTTTCTGATCATGTTATTGTAAAATAATATCAAATAAACAAATCATTTACCATATATTATACCATTGACTATTGGATTAATAGTCAAAGATTATACATAAAAAGTGTAGACTAAACAAAATTTATTTGCAACATTAGCAGCACTAACTAATAAAAACCATTTAAATATATTTATAAAATTAACTGTCAACTACTAGGGTAAGTCGGTAGTTAATATCGGTGGTCAGTTTTAACAGTTTTTTAAAAATTGAAATAAAAAGTCCTTCGGTTATCGGCTGTTGTATAATAATTTATTCCTGCGATCATGGTTGGTTAGGAGCACTCTAAATGTTTATAAAAATTTCTTACACTTAAGGTTTAAAAAATGTTATTCCTGATATCCTCTTTAAATGCCTCATTATATCTAAATCCTCATTAAATAGTGAATTAACTCCTACATAGATTGTTATATCAGCTACCTTACCTTTAGAGGATTAAATACACTTGACAGTCTCCCCAGAGGACTAAATACTAGCTGCTATCCTCCCTTTATCCCACAATTCAAAATCCTAACCTAGAGCCTTTCTTTGTACTAAACTAACCAAAGTTTTGGGTATCCGTCTATCAGAAATGACATTTCTTACTTTATTTCAAGTAATAGAAGAGGTTCTACTGTACTTCCCTTTTCAAGCTTTAATATTGTTATGCCTTATTCCGTTTGGTTTTTTTTTATCATGAGAGGTTTTAAGGTCATAAACATCTATGGTTGAGAAGTGCAAAGGCCTACTACCTTGCTTTCATTGAAGAGCTGGGTGATCGGCTGTTTGCCAAGTGAACGATGCAAGTTCTGCAGAGTAAGCATGAACAGAGGGTAGTGGTTTCCTCCGTCGGCCATGTCTGCCACCTCAGCCAGTGCGACCAGGGACTCGGCCACAGCCAGGGCTGCCAACCCGGCCACAACACTGTGTATCTTGGGCACTGCGGCCTCCCTCTCTGGTATGGAGTTGACAATGTTACGCAAACTGTCCACGACCTGTAAAAGACATTATGTTTTCAGAGATTCCATTTCAATCAAAATGACTTCGAATGTTATGCAATATAGCCTATATGACATTTTACACATGCATTAAAACTTAAGACGTTACGTCAAAAGTAGGGAGAACAGGGTTTTGTTTCCTTTCTAATTTTCAAGATGAGAATTTCCTTCTCATGCAACAAAGGAAATTTAAGTTTGGAAGCTTAAAAAATCTTCAGTAAAAATTCTTATAAATGGCAAATTACAAACAAAACCAATATTCAGTCTTCATTGAACTGCTGTATCATCTATGATTGCAGAAACATCATCATTGTAACCCACCAAAGCAGAGAAATTGTGATAGTCTCCCGGAATAGCTAAAGTTTTTCCATGTAATAAAACAAATAAACTACTAAGATTTTTTGAGAATATAGCAGGCTTACCTGAATGGGAAAGAGTCAGTCATGTTACAAAAAATCCTAAAAATCTAGGCCCCTGTGCTCTATGTTACACCCTGAAATATACTACTAAGATTACTTAAAATATTGATTAGGCCTAAATTCAAAATTTGATTTGAGCAGTGATTAGATTTGTAAAAAGTGAGGTGCTGGAACTGTAACCTATTTAATGTGATTTGTACCTATTTATGTACCTTTTTATACTAATATTTTTATCTTTCCGAAAGAGAGGAACCGGAACTCTGTTCCACCTTGTTCCCCCACAAATCGAGCACAGGATTTGACCTAACCTAAGCCGTTACCGAGATTTTTAACCGATTGAAGATAAGTGATCAATACCTGTGTACAGGTGGCGACTCCCTCCTTGCGCAAAGCCGCCACAAAGCTGACGGCCAGCTCTCTGTCAGCCTCTGTCTTGTCCAGTGTTGTAGTCAAGACACACACAACTGCCTCCGACACGAGTCTCTCTGGCACTCGTTGCTCCTTCCACCCGGACACAGCAGACTCCACGCTGCGCTCCTTCAACAGCTCCTCAGTGAGTGTCCCGACCTTGCGCAGAACCTCCTCCTTGCTGGGACCCTGGACAGCACATGTCACTTGTAAATCTTGCCTACATAGCCTAGTAGCTTATATTCAGGGATGGACGGAATCACAGAATTATGAGAAACTTTTAAGGGTAAATGTAACTGGTGTTTCAAAATTAATAAGGCTTAAAACTTTTATTACACATCAAATGTTTTCACACATCAAATGTAAAAGCAACTTAAAACGTTTTAGAAAAAAGCCTACAAGTGTTCAATGTTTAGCACTATTCGTCACACAGCACATGTAAAGAAAGACGATTGTTTACTGATCTTCTAGTCTTGAGGCAATTTTTGGCTGCTTTAATTGAGTATTTTAAAGTTGGGCAATAGTAATTGGTAGAACATTTTATTCCCTTTGAGAATATTACCTTCCACTTTGGTCAATTTCCTCACCACTTAAAAGTTACTTGCAAAAAACTTAAACAATCTCCGAATTTATAAAGCGTTAGAACCCGATATTCATTTTGAAACACCCACGATCCCTGATCTTTAGAGCCTACATTTAATTTGAGAATTTCTTGGGTATGTTTTTATTTCAACACAATCGCTGAAGAATTTCTATCAGCCTTTTGACTTTACTTTAAAATATGGCCTGAAGTCTTTACTTAGAATTTTGTACATGATTATTCCTTTAACAATTTTCATCTAAATTGTTTAATATATAAAGCTAGCTTAAGGACAAAAAAAACAAATAATCTACTCAAATATTATTTTTTTAGATTTACATTTAGGCCAACACAGAGTAAAATCAAACTGTCTTCTTTAAGAGTCCTTGGAGCCTAGACATTCTAACTCATAAAACAATTCAAAAACAACAAAGAAAATTTCCTATCCCACAGTATCGTAGATATTTAAATTATAATCACTTTATAGTGTTTGAACAAATATTTTTGGATGTTAATTAACTCTTCAGAAGCTGTTTGAAACTATCCAAGATGGCCGTTAACAAACATAAGATCAACGACTAAGTAATGTTTTCCAAGTAGGCCTACTCTACTATTCCTCACCTTTTCTTTCTTGTTGCTCTTGTTTTTATCCACAGGGGCAGGTTTGATGACCACCACGTTCTCCTTCACAGGGTGAGGAGTCGGCATGTGATTGTTAACTGAAAAAAGATTAAAAGCCGATTAACACATTTATTCAAGCACCATTGCACTGCTAATTTTTGTAATCTAATCATGAGATAAATAAAATAACACTACCAAAAGTTATAAAGTGTAACAAAATTTGTTATAGATCAGATAGTGTTGGAAAGCTTGCATAAAAAATATTATCGTAGAATTCTGGGAATGTGCCAATGATGTGGAAGCTTTCCATGTCTAAAAGTGTAGATTTTTAGTATTACATTTTATACTGTAATATGGCATTGTCTTTCATTAGTAAAAAAAACCCTGATATACATCAAATAACTATTTATTTAATAAAATGTCTCAAGAATTAAAGAACAAAATACAGTCCAAGCATTTCAAACGCACCCTTGCTAATTTTCTTTTTAAAAAACCCTATAACAGTATGCCTTCTTAACTGATCAGGATGTGTTAAAGTAAATTTGCTTTTAACAAAACTTTTTAATTGATACATTTTGTTTAAACCACTTTTATTTTTATAGTTTCAGTTTATTTTAGTCTTGTATAACTCCTTAGTCTTAAGGTAGCCTATTTGTATTTCAACAAAGTAACCAGTTTTACCTAACCCGCCATGTTAAACTTCCCTATCCCAAGCGTGATGTATACTACTTCTTTACTTCATGAGTGATGTAAAGTTGAAAAACTCACTCGGTGAGGTAACGAAACCCATTTAAATAACATTGAGTGGGTGCTTGACTTAGAAATCAGCTGTGCGCTTGAATTTTATTGTTATGCTTAGAAGAATTTTCCTAACCTAGCTTTTGTTTGTAAATGAACGTTACTGTTAGAAGATGAGTGAAATGGATAATGAAATATATTGTTCGCAACCCCCTGAATATTGTCGGGTCAGATAAAATCTTGTACGTTACACGTTACGCAAGAGCTTGTTTACATCACTTAGGAGAATTATGCAACTCGCTTCCGCTCGTTGCACAACATTCAGCTGCGTGTAAAAACGCTCTTACTACACTTGTAATGTAAATAGCTATTATAGCATAGCTATATTATGTTAACGTTATGTGACAATAAAGATTTATTTATTTATTTACTAACAGCGTAAAAAGTTTTAATTTCAAACCTTACACAGTTGCAGTTAACATTAAAGGTTAATGATTCAGAAATATTTGTTTTTACAACGTGGAAGTAGTAGGCTGAGTATTGTAGACTTAAGTGCATTGTACAATGTTTGACATAAAAGCGTTTTTAAACTCAGGAATTGTCACTAAACCAATTATTTATGTTTTAATGGGTGTAATGTCCTAGTAAAATAACTCATTTGGCCGTTTATGATGATATTACATGTAATACCTTTTACCGAACTAATAATGATTGATCAAACATATGTTTAACCTCACGATTAATGTAGTTTCAACTAGTTTGGGTTCTTAGGTTGAACCATCAGACAAGTAATAGTTTTTCATTGAACTTGTATGACTTTTAATAACTAACCTATGTACCTTTAAGAGATGTTTTTGACTGTTTGTTCAGCGTGTTCAGGTCTGATGGTTCAGCATAACAACTATAAAATAGCTGCCCCTACACCAACCAAGGATTGCTTTATGCAAGTACTGTAGGCCTAATTGATCCCCCACAATTGTATAGACTTTTATACATGTAGGCTAGTTATAAGTTGCACTGTGTACCTGGTGGAATGGTGTTGATCTGAGGTTTAGTGTTGAGAGGTTTAAACACCATAGAGTTGCTGGGCGGCCTCAGAGATATCTCGTCCAGGTTGGTGGAGGCCTGCTGATGGTTCATCATCTTCTTGAAGCGAGGCGCTAGTTCCTTAGCTCCTGTAATAGTTGGAACTTTATTGTCAATGGTTCCGTAAAACTATTGTAAAAATTTAAGCCAGTTTAATTAAAAAAGATCCTATTTAAAACATTAAATATACATACATATATAAATGATTGAAATGATGTGATTCACATCTAGGAATTATTCAAAGGTAAAACTATTTTATTTTAACAGGAAAACGTCATGAATATCTGACTGACATTGTTACATGGGAACAAAGTAGTACAACTTTTTGTTTGTTTATTTTTGTATCAAAATTGATTTTTGAAGAGTTTTTAGAATCACGGGTACTTTTCTATTATACCGACCACGTCTAAAAAAGAAACTGTTCCAAACTAACCTAACCAAACTTGCAGTAAAATTTCAAAATCTCATTTGATAGCAGAAATGACATGTAGGGAATGTCAAACATCGAGTTTGGTTAGGTTGGTTTAGAACAATTTCATTTTTATCGGTGTGGTCAGTATAATACAAAAGTACCGAATCACGTATTAAGTGAACATAAATGATGTTCCAAAACACAGTTCGTCCAAAACTAATGATCGGTCTTTTTATAGTAAAGATTCTGTCATTCATTCATTATGTTTCACCTACGAATATAATAAAAAAGTACAATATAGCCTATGTGTTTAAAAACGATCAGGAGAAAAGTAAATAAAAACATCAAAGGAACAACAGTTGTCAATCTTTCATTGTTGTTAACAGCCGTGCAATGTTACTTAACAACATCCGAGAAATATTTGCTTTTAAAGAAAGACTAATGATAAACATAGAAGGGCCTAGATTTTTGCTATTTTTGAAAGCTAGAAAAAATATGTTCAAGCAGAAACAGCCTGAACCAAGTTCATAAGAAAATGATAGGCTCTAGGTTAGGTCTAGATGTGTACCAACCAGAATTATTGTTAGAATTGTTGTTATGCTGGTTGTTGTAGCGGTGGTTGTTTTGCTGGTAGAACTGTTGCTGGTTCTGTTGATGATGATTCTGCCGAGAGTTCTGACGATATCCTGACTGATAACCATTGTAACTGCAAAAATGCATAATCATTCAGAATGTTGATAAGAAATAGGAAACAATAAATAATATTGGTTGCAAGTGATGTTAGTAATTGTACATTAAATAAACTGATTACCCATCCAAGGTGTCTTGCTGACCACAAAACCAGTAATCGCATATGAATTTTATAAAGGCCAGATAAAGCCTGTGACTTCTTGGCAAGCTTCCAATTTCATTGTGTTATGACCAAACTTTTGCCAGCTACACGCACACGTTGTCCAATTTGTTTTTAGTTGTGGCCACACTTTTTCTTACGACGAATCTTCACAAAATCTAGGTTGAAGATAAGCGACGCTTAAATGTACATGTAGACTAGACAATGAAGCCATAGTCTTCAAAAACTATGGTAGGTAGTCTTAATATTATTATCATTATTATTATTATTATTATTATTTCTTTGTCATGAGAGCCGAAGCCCCCTGACTACATACCCGGTACCTGTCGTGAGACTTACCCGGGCCCCATGATGTAGGCCGAAGCTTACGCATCAACCTTTTGCACATCATGGGCGGATGACTTAAGGTCATCAGGCTCACCGGCTGCCGAAGCAGACCCTTCGGAAAGAGGGTTGCCCCTCAATCCTAACCAGGGTTTCCGGCTACTTGTTTAAGCGTCACTCCACCTGGGTTCCACTAGGTCGGGACCTAGAGGACCATGGTAGAGCGCCCCGACGCATTTAGTGCAAGTAACACTCGGGACCTATCTAATCCCTGGCAGGCAAACCCGCCATCAATAGCCAGAAGGAAGGGGACCGTCAGCACGCTGACGGGCCCTCCCATTTACACCACTACCCGATCGAGGCCTTACCCAGTTGCTGGGAAACCAGAGATAACCAGAGCGATAGATCCCCAGATACCCCTGGCGGGCTCGGACCCAGCACCCGATCTACTTCGTTTGCCCGTCAGACCCAACATCACTGCCAGGCCATCAGGGTTTCCCAAAAGGAGGCAGGTATAGAAGTGGGACCCACCCGGATGAACCTATCCACCAGAGGTGGCGACACCCTTGACTCAATTGAGGTTCCGGGAAGAACCCCCCACACTCAAGATAACCATACCGTCCGTGCTCAGAGACAGGGATTGGTTTGCATAAGTGCCTACAAACCGTTACCCTCACACTGCGGAAAGTTACGTTGCCCTTGAGTGTCCCCGTGAGCTACGGGTACTTGCCCGTTTTCACCTCCAGGAAAGGTTACTTCCAAAGTCGAGGATTTGCCACACTGAATGCTGGTCGCACACAACAAGCAGGCCGAAGCCCAAAGAACCACAGACACAGGTAGGTTAGAGAATATGATGCACTTCCATCTCTCCTAGAGCTAAACACCCCTCCATCCTGGATAAAGGAATGTCACTGGGACCCAATGCCCAGTCGTCTATGTCTGTGGCCTACTTGAAAATGCCGATACCAACACCGAGCAGTTACCTCCCCTTTGGGGGCTAGGTTTTTCACCTCCCAGGACGAGGCTACTTCCAAAGTCGAGGATATGCCTCACAAAATGTCAGTCGAACACAACAGGTAGGACGAGCCCGAAGAACTCAAGTCACAACCACAAGCTACAGGCAGGTGAAAGATCTATGAACTTAATCAACACTAGCAGAGCTGAACACCCCACCACCCTGAATGGAGGGAATGTCACTGGGTACTCTCACTTTGGGTAAAACCCAAAGAGGCTGGCTTGTCCAGTCGTCCATAGCTTGTGGCCTACCTGAAGTGCCGGTTCCAACACCGGGCAATTACCTCCCCTCTGGGAGGTAGTCTTAATACAAGAACAGGATTACTTGGCAATAGCACTATGGTAAAAGACTGTAAATTGTCCATGAATTTTAAATTTTACAACACCCCTTATGGCCGAGCGACCATTCATTAACGGTGTTCTGGGCTCTTTACATGTTATCGCATCGATTATAAAAAAAACATTTGTATGATCTACTTTTCTATACACAGCAATAGGCGTACTTACGAGTTGAACTTATCCGATTGAGGATGCAGAGGGCTGGAATGCAGAGACCCTAGAGGACCTCCGAGCATCTCGTCCAACCCGCCTCGGGTTTTGAGGGAGTATCTGTAAAACTCATTGTTCATGTTCGGCCGCCGGTCTGAGTTCCTCGAGAAATTGTTGCGTTGCTCATTCTCTTCTTCACAGAGCTGAAAAATGCAAAATAGACATAAGCAACTAATTTACAGTGGAACTACCTACTACAAAATATCAAAATGTATGAATTTGGCAGCCACTTTTACTTAACCTCTTACAGCACTGCCTATAATGAAAAAAAAGTTTCAAAATAAAGGATTTCGTCGAACATAAATCAAATCATAAGCAAAAACGCAATAATACCTAACTTTGTTCACTAGCCAACTGATAACATGTTTCTAACTCAATTGAATAAAAGGATCTGACATTGGTGAGTAATGAAAAAATTACACTAAAAATTAATAACAAATGAGTAAAAGATAAGGCGGAAAGCCGGACATTAAAAAGTTGCACTGAGCTGTAGTTGGGACGTAGACCTACCTGATTCATGGGCATGGGTCCCTCATAGTTGGTGGCTTTGCGGGGAACCCACTTGTCTCGCCGCAGCTCAATGACATCTCGCAGCATGAAGCGGATGCGAGAAGGCAACTCCTCGTTCTTCGCAAGGATCTGCATGCGGTTGAAGTATTGCTCCATCAGTTTCTGTAAAGATCGATATTTTAATGGTGACCAATTCAACTATCTAAAATAGCACTAAAACGTTTTTGTTCTAAAATATCAGACTTACCTGAATAGGAATGAGCCCACTCCATGACGAGAAACACAAAATACTTAACACTATAGCCGCGGTCACACTAGGCTGTTTAGTAGCCGCTTCTAACCAGCCGCTGGTAATATTGCTGAATATTGCCAGCAAGCAGCCTAGTCTGACCCAGAACCAGCGGCCGGCGAATGCCAGCGCGCTAGTGTTTACTAGCCACGATCAGAAGTTGAACATGTTTAACTTTTGAGCGCTGCCTACCCTCCGCTGGCAGTCACGTGATCTCCTCACTGGCACCAGCCAGCCAATGTGAACCCCTAGTAGCTAACAAGCGGCTGGTTAATTAACACATGTATAGTTTGTTTTGCAGTGTTGGTTTCGTTTACTGTATTTTCTATTTATTTTTGCGATTAACAGTGAATATGGTTGACAGCAACAAGTGGACAGGTAAAGACATAATTACATTTCTAGATATATTTCAAAATTATCCTTGCCTATGGGACCCTTGGACTGCAGACTACATCAACAGAAATGCCAAAGACTCAGCTTACAAGGAGTTACTGGAAAAACTTGAAGAACAAGGACTTAAAGCAGAATTGGCCACATTGAAGAAAAAAATAAAAAGTTTACGCGATACGTATCGAAATGAAGTTTATAAAAAAAGCCAAAGAAGAGTGGTGTCAATAGATGATATGGTGAAAACACATACACAACATAATGCTTTAAAGTCAAAAGCAGCAATTGTACTAGCGGCTAGTAGGTTTATAATGTGAACCCTTCAGATCCAGCTGGCTGCTGGCGATATTGCCAGCGGCTGGTTAGTAGCGGCTGCTAAACAGCCTAGTGTGACCGCGGCTTATACACAAAAGCTGGAATATTACGCCATTACTGACAGTATTTTCAACAAGGGAAGGTAGAGTTGGGACAAGGGACAAACCCTTGACCTGTAACAAACATACGGTAAACCTTATACTAAATCTACTCGTATGTTTCCAGATGAAACTTCTTTCATTGCCAGCAAAATATTCAAACTTTCTGGTATAGTGTTAACGCGTTTAAGTTTATTGTTCTGAAGTAGTGGATTCTTTTGCATTCAGGTAAACCTGATATCCTCAAAATAGTTACTACATATAAATCAAATGCAGTGAGAAGCCTACACTGGGGGCTAGTTTACAAGCTACATGTATAAAGCAGCCTGTAAAGAACCTGACTATAATTTTTGTTTTTTTTTATCTGCTATATAGTGTGTTAGTCATAAATATTGACCACTAAATAGATGTCTGAATTAATGTCATGGTCTAATTATTATTTCAGTGTTCGGAGTTGAATTTATTTGTTAGTTGTTTAACAAAACTATGTTTTTGGGATTTTGTTTGCACACTTGAGACGTATTGTGACTTATGTCACATACAGTATTCATGTTAATATGTCAGGGTCAGAAATCCAATTTTATTCACTTTTGATTGGTTAACAAAAATTATATTATATTCTGTACATGTAACTTTAACTTACAAAAAAAGAATCACGTTTAGGCATGAAATTCACATTTGGTTTTGAGATTCAAAATTTCTGGTTTTGACCATACCTTGCGCTACACGCCATCCTTATTGACGCAATCTACGGACATCGGCAAAGGACCTACTAAAAGTAGACGGAGGATACTCACAGAGCCTTTGTCCGTATCCAGGATGCGTCCGCAGGTCCTCATTATCTGACAGAGGCACTCCAAGTCCTCGGCCATTGGCTTGTTGCGATGTGTTGTGCCCAACAGCTGCTGGACACACCTGTGCAGGATGCCTTCCGCCAGGATCTCCAGTTTTCCAAGTTCTCCGATAAACTGAAAGATAATTTTAAATTATTACTCACACCACAAGTTACTGTAGCTTTATAGACATTCAAACACACACACACACACATATATATACACACATCAATTCGAAAACCACATTTTGGGTTCAGTAGGACACAAAACGGATATTTCCATCCAAAACTCTGCAAATTTTGACAAAATCAATACGATACTTTTTTCATACTATGTATAGTGAGAGAAAGTAACATGATCAGCCATTATCAAAAACTCTAAACAGAATTTAGAACACTCACCTTAATGTTGCCGAGCATCTTGCGCTTGGCATTCTGTTTTCGCTCTTCTTCTTCAGGGGTGAGGATCGCATCATCGGGGTAGGCGTCGGTAGCATGCGAGCGGTTCTCAAACTCAGTTTTGCACTTGTTTAGCAACAAGTGGCGGAATGTGCCAAGGCTAGATGGTGGATCAAAGTTGGGAGCTTCTTCTGTCAGGCGCTTGCACAGCTGTGCATACATAGAACTGTACTTCGGCTCATCTAGCGCCTTTTCAAAGATCTGCAATTAGGAAAGTAATTTCAGTTTATCAAACACCTAGTGCACTAATCCTAAAACAAATCTCACAATGGCATTTCTATCATTTTTCAGAGGAATAGAGTTTAGCAAGCTTACCTAAGGAGTTCAAAGTAGTAAACCTTCATTAAGGTTTAAGACAACGATATTGAGATACATAACCAAAAATGTTACAAAAAATTTATCAACAAAGAATAGAACAGTTTATATAGCTACTCAACTATAGGTGCTGAGAGCACCACAAGACACCACACTAAAAGAACACTACAAGAGTGTTATATTAAATTTAATATAAATTTTTAATACAAATATTCTGTGTATAGTCAATGGTTTTATTAATTTCTTAATTAATCAGCGAAACTGTACATTTTTCTTTGAGACTTATTTACGTTATGATAAGGTTAATTATTTTTCCATCTAGTGTTTTTGTGTGAAGCAGTGAATGACAACAAAACCTCTCCCCATACGTCACTTTGGGGGTCTTTTCCATTACTGTATTGTTCTTTTACCCACTATAGTAACATTGTTGAGCGGAGCGAGCGAAGCTCTTTGGGATCAACTTCAATGCAACAAATAAAGAAACATCACTCAATAACGGCTGAACGCATTTCAGCCAAACTTAACAAAATTACTTAGATCAATAGTGAGATGATTTTTAAACAAAAAAATTTTAATTAGATAATGCCAATGCAATTTAAAACGAACTTAAAATTTCCAATTTTTAACATTAGGCTTATGGGACTAAAGTAGCCATGACAGTTTTTTTGTTTACAAGAAAAATGTAAACCTTACCAACAAGATGACACCTTTGAGAATAACACTTGAATTGAGTTCCGTCTGCAGCAAGTCATCACTCAGCTTCTGAAACTTCTCTGGTGTGAGCTTGTTGAGGATTCCTCGCACCTACAACCAAAACCAACAGATAAGGTGTGATCACAATGATAGGAATTACAGCAGGCTTATCAGAATCTGTAAAAGTCCACTGTGGCATAGGAAACTCAGAAATCTGACACATACTTTCTCCCATTAGTGAGTCAACAACACTTATAATGGACAAGTGGTGGGAGTGATATTTCAAGAGGAAAATCACTAAAGTTGCAATAACTTACAGCATTGAGGGTTGTACCATTTTGTTAAGTGTTAAAAAGACCACAACATAGGGCCATAATTTTAATCTTGTTTACAGTCGGTTTTTGAAAATGACATTATTCTGTTATTTTGTTAGTTTTTATGGGAAATCACTGGAAAAATCAAAATTTCAACAAATTAAAAATAATACCTGGAGATGCCATAGATTAGTATCTACATACCGCATTTCATCAAAATAGGATCACAGGTTTAGTGGGTAGGTCTGTACATATCCACATACATATAGACATCACTTAAATACTTTTTGACAAAAACAATACATTCTCCATGTATAAGGGGAGAAAGTAAAACAAGTCAGTCGCGTCTTATCCATCACCGGCGCCGCATCACGTTTCGCAGTCGTTCTTTAATTAATGTTTAAATGTTTCGTGCGTGTTTTCGTGTGTGTAAATGTCTACATGTTTTTTGTGTAACCATGACGAACTCAACACCGAGGGATGTTTTATAAAGAAGCTGGCGTTCAACAAACCTGAAGATGTGCCAGTGATAGGCATGAAACAGCTGTAGTTTCATAAAACTACCGAGGATCGATGACAGAAGCCAGGTAATTTAAACCTTATTAGTGAAAGTAAAACGGTAAAATAGTATATTTTATCTTCCCAACACAAACTTTTCTTGGTTGAAAATGTTGTAAGAGACAGTGAAATATTTAAGTGTTTTGTGAATAGTATAGTGATGTTATTTTTTTTCTTCATTATGCTAGAGAGGACTAGGCCCTACTGTATTTTCCAATCTGTTAAGTTGGCTAAAACGACAAAAATCCTTCTAACACATTTTTTTTGTTCCCTAGGGGTGTTGCTCTAGCACTTCTCAAGGTTAAAAAGAGTTTTAATCAAACAGAAAATTTGCCAAATATATTTAATTTTTCCGAAATTAACCATCTCAGTTATTAAAGTTTTGAACTACTTTAGGCCTAGGCCTACATGGTTGCTGTCAAAATTATCCTGATTAAGTTACTTCTACAAAATGTGGAAAAATGAGATTGTTGCTTAATGATCATATTAGGCTACAAAAATGTCATGTACACATTTCTAAAATGATCTCCCAAATTACAATCATAATGTCTCTATCACAACTTCTTTCACAGCTCAGTTGAGAAGAAAAGAATGGATGAAAGAATTTGATGTCAGGCAACTATGCAAACATATGTCCCAAAAACACACATACGTTCTCAAATCGCCTAAGTTAGGAGGGAAAAAGCTTAATTAACACATTGAGCGCCGAAAACCCTTTAACAGGCGCTCGCCGACCCGACTGAATCAGCGATTGCTATTGGTATTGAAATATCGTAAGACGAATCACAAAAGAGCAGCCAGTGGTGATTGTTCTGCGTTACCCCGATAGTGGACGTAGTTCACTGAAACACCCAAAGGTAGCAGCACTGCCTGGATCAATAACCAGAGTCTTTGTAATATGGCTCGAATAGGGAAAATCTCCGAAAACGGGACAAAAGCATTGCCAGTCGGGTTTTTATGTGCAATTTTAGTACCAACCTACACCAGAATAAAGCTCGCATTCTAAGCTACAGGCTGGTAACGATTACAACGTTCCCCGGCAATGGCGTAGCTCACATTGAAACAAGGTTTTTGCTATGCTAACATGACGGGCGCGCCCGCCAGACGCTTGGTGTGCCAACTGAGCATGGCGGGCCGGCCCGTCACTCGCGCTCAATGTGTTAAATACAATATTCCTCAACTGTACACAAATATTGCAAGAATCTTTTAAGCATGGTTCCACAAGATGTGCTAACCATTATAGGCCTATTTAAAAAATCTCAAGTACCGGTAACTGAAATTTACATTCAGACCCACAAATCAAGGTGAAATATTTCCTTAAATGCCAAATAAACTTTAGCCTAATCAGTAAATTCCATTCAGTAAACATTAATGGATACAGCAAATCAACAATAGATTGTAAATATCCCAGTTAATTTTGTAGCAACTATATTGTCTCGATCACAACTTCTTCCATAACTCATAAGAGAAAGAAAGAATGGATGAAAGATTTTTATGTCAGGCAACTATGCATACGCTTTGATCCATGTGGAGCAAGTGATCTCAAATTGCCTGATTTGCATTGTAAGTTCAACAATTGAATAAAGAAATGTAAATAGTTTTTGCATCCCCATTCTTTGCATCTCTAACAAACTATAGGCCTATTTGAACATCTTAAATTATAATAAAACTAGTAAACACGTCACTCGAAATCAAGCAATTGCAAAGAAGTAAAGTAGTTATTTAAAAACAAATATAAGTCATCATAATTTCCGATGAGTTAAAAATACTTTGAATTGAAAAATAAATAACAGGAATTAAATTATACAGCTTATCAAAATGTAAACATTAATGTTCTTCATAAGGATAACATGGGCACTTTAACAGCCACTGGGGCAGAGCCCAAGGGACTTATTCAAAAATGTAAGGTCAGTTTGCAAATCTACGCGACACGCTCTTTCCAATGAGACGTCAATGGATAAAATCAGTTAAGAAATGGCGGAGGAGTTCAACCGACAAAGTTTCATGTAGCGTATTAATTATATAGATGAAATCCACACCATAGTAGCCTATACAAATCTACTACTCACAAAAAAATTAGTTTGAGTCTCTTTACCACTCTTTCCCTGCTCTCCTAACCTAAAAATATGTTATGGTAGGTACCCGTATGTTTTCTTGCAGCAATATTGTTTCGATCACAACTTCTTCCATAACTCATGAGAGGGAGAAAGAATGGATGAAAGATTTTGATGTCAGGCAACTATGCATACACTTTGATCCATGAGGAGCAAGTGATCTCAAATTGCCTAATTTTGCTACAGCAATGACGAATGAATTAATTTCTGGATTACATTCTACTGTTATAATGTAGGGCTAGGCTATTTTAAGGAAATATTTCGGTTCATGAGTAATATGAGAATTCGGAAGTATGGCGATGAAAATCGATGGCCTAATGCTGCATAGTAAGGAAAGTTGCATGAAAACCAAATTTTTTGCTAGAGATCTATTAGAGGACTAACCTTGCGGAAGATCTGATCATTTCTGGTTTCAGGGGTCTGTTGTGCAGCATCGCGTCTATAACTTGAAGGAGGAACCCAACGTCTCTTTGACGATTGCAGGGAGCGAGATTCGTCCCTAAAACATCAAATTTACTAATTTTCAAAACACTCATGAAGGTTTAAGAAGAGTTCACTATTGATTTTTAAAACTCTTAAGCTCTTTGCTGTTCTTAAACAACATGCACTAGCAATAACAACAAAATTAATAGGTAAACATCTAATAAAACTGTTATGATATATCAAATCATAGCATGAGTTAACAGATTATTTGTGCAGCTAGTGAGCGAAGTGGCACTTTTTCAAATTAAAATAATCTGCAAGCCTCAGGCAGCAATTTTAAGTTTACAATGAACACTTTGCACACAAATTGTACATACTGTACATTATTTTTTGTCTACAGTTGTTAATGTAAGATTCAGTAGTACAAAATTTAATAAAACGCTAATGTAAAACAACAGTATGCAAACAAACAATGAAAAAGAGTTTGATTGTATAAATCCTCTTATTCATAAGTACGGTATAAGGTATACTTTACAAAAGAACAATGATGGTAAAAGTAGCATTACTGTATAGCCATAAATAGTTACTGTAATAGTTCATCCATTGTTTGGTCTAAATTTTGTTTTTTCAGTTGTCATTCAGAGTGAGCAAAGCACTGAACTAATAAAACTGGAGGTAGCACTAAATGAGAGAATTGAGAGACGTTGGCCGCCATAAGTACTAGGGGTACGGTACAGTACATTTGTCTAAATTGATCAGTGAAGCTAAGTAAATCAGCTGTTTATTAAATTAGAAGTAACCTGTTTGGATAACTATTTAGGAATCAGCTGTTTTGCAAACTAATTCAAGTGAACAAAATGACACCTTGTTTGACAATTAATTGTAGACAACACAATATGTTAAAGGATCTAAAAACATGAATTGTTAACATGAGATAGGTAGTTGAAAATCATAAAGAATGGAAACTCACTGGTGAGTTTTATGAGATCTCTATCTAAAAATTAAGGTGAAATCAACACAAAGATCGAACTAGCCTAAATGTAAATACAATATAGGCCTACACAGGGAGAGGGGGGAGGGAGGGGACACTTTTTGATTACCGGTATTTATTTTTTTAATTTTTTTTAGTTAAGTTAGGTCAACAAACAAAAATGACATGAAAGTATTATTGATTTAGTAATAAAATAAAGTAGTATAGATGGTTGAAATTCAATTCATTTTGTAGTTAAGTATTTAATACTATTACTGTGCAAAGTGTCCCAAACCTCCCTCTATGAGGGAGGCTTGGGACACCAGTTGGGGAGGGTTGGGACATATTGAATGAATGCTTTTTCAAAATAAACAACTGCATTTATCTATATATTAATAGGCAAGCATGTTTCTTTAAAACCTTTTTTCTCAGGTCGTGTGCATCGCAGAGAAAATCTACGCATACTGTTGGAAAGATATTTTCCTGTAGATGTGCAGAATGCCTCTAAAAATTAAAATAGGCTAACAAATAAGCACAAAAAATTAATTTGAAAACTTCAAAAAATTAACATGGAGCATATGGGTTGCCATGATGGTGACGAAATAACAACAAAATGTAAACAGAAAATCAAAACAAATGGAAGAAATTCAAATCACATGTGTTATTTACAGTGCGGGGAGAAAATAGAGAAGTCTGTACATTAATTATTTTTGGTCGAGTTTCGACCACAGGACGACCACTAGTTCATTCTTAATAGGTAACAGAACTTGTAGTATAGGCTACAATAAAGTAAGGCATACTGAGTTTGATTACTTTTCAAAAACATTGATTTTTATGAAAAACAAATCTGACCCTATCGTCTTGCGTTGTTACTTCGGGAAACGGTAAAATACCAAGTACATTCCCAACATTAACACGTTCGCTGCGGCACGTCAAATAGCGGGCGTATCCCCAGTGCGGCGCAGCCCTCAGCGTCGAGTAAACCCGATTGCCGCGTGTGATTGGCCTTTTCAATTTTGGTCTGACGAATGGCAAATAAAGTGAGGGGATGTCCTGCTTTACAACGAGAGTCGATGTAGTTCGCTAAACACCCACAGATAGCAGCACTGCTTGGAACGTAGCCGGTCCCATTGGAATTGTATTGCCAAATGGAGGGAAAAAGACGGGACAAAAAGAAGACTTTTGAGATTGCCAGACGGGGATTTTACGGGGAAATTTACTACCAACCTACACCACAACAAAATGCAAGTCAAATACTACACGCTAACGTCGTATAGGTCCGCTTTTGGCCGACGCTAGAGCAAAAACGAAGATATACAAAAGGCATTACCGAGCGTTCCCGATGGGGTACGGACGCACCGTACGGGGGCCAAGCGCCGTACCCGATCGGGAACGGCCGCACTCTACGTGTTAATGAATGACACATCTTCTTCTCTTGCAATAAACACTTTTTTAGTGGTGTCTACAGCTTTTAAGGCCATCATGATCAGCTCAGCGTCTTCCACTGGTTTAGTACCCTTCAGGACACTGTCCCAACCCTCCCTCATATTACTGTCCCATGCCTCCCTCAAGCACATGGTTAAACAAATGAGATTACTGAAACATAACCTCAAAAGTTAGCTTCATTTATAAGCAATCAAAATCTTTCTTAATCATTGAAGTATCCAACAAAAATATTGCACTTGCCAACAGTTTTATTTTGGTAGATTTTCATCCAATAAGTTGGGTCGAAATACTAGAGATTTCGTCAAAAAATCAGTTAAACTTTTATAAAAACTGAACCGTGTCAGGTAGCTCTGCCAAACTTCAGAAGGAGAAAGAAAATGGAGAGAAATATATGCTGTAGAAAAAAGAGAGCAGAGATATCAACTTAGATAGGTTAAAAATGAATGTCCCATACCTCCCTCTGTCCCAACCCTCCCCACTCTCCCCCTACACACTTTTTATAGTGTAGGTAGGCCTAAGCAATAAGTCAGAATCCCTAAAAGTGCTCCATCCCGATGACCCAATGTAAATAGGCCATGTAAAAAAGTAAATTGTCAGAAAGGACTTAAATATAAAAGTTCAAATAATAGTTAGTTATCACTCTGAATATGGTATAAATGATATACGATGAACATTTTTAATTAAAACTAAGGTTAGTTGCAGCAAAAACATTCTGATAGCCTAAATCTCAACCTTGTATTAATTAAGAATGGAGATGGAAGGTATCGCTAATAAATGTTTCAAAATGTTCTCACAAGTTTAGGTTCTAATGAGATGCTATATTCTAGACTCTCACCTTCCTCCCGAGACACGAGAAGCACCCCCCGGTCCTCTGGGGCCGTCCGTTGTGTCTTGTGTGTCGCCGCCCACACAATAAACTGGTTTTATATTGGTTTTCTCAGTAATGGAGGGGGTTGCTGAAAAAAGATATTCAATTGTAATTTGTAATTCTTAAGCTAATGCATGGGTTACCTGAAATACAACAATACAAAAAAGTTAAAAGTAAAAATACATTGGTTGTATAAAACAATTGGTTGAAGACACATGTTTCCCGGGCAGAAGAATGTTGTTGATAGCCTACAGAAATTGTACCCTATAATAAGATGGGTATGAAAGAACCTTAGGCCAACACATAGGGTCAACAGATGACTTGGCTCTATCTAATACAACTAAATTGAAATTGCCTCAATATCATTTTGTTATAAAAGGGTCATTTTGAGAAAAATATTTTGAAAATTTTAAATAGGCCTATGCATAAAAACAGTTTTTTTCATATTTAAGAAACAATGGTATCAAAAGAAAGCTTATAATATCCTCTTTGGATATTTTTTTGGCTCTTTGGAGGCAATGCCAATTTTTTTCTTAACTCACGGTGGTTTTCATTTAAATAATTGTTTTATCAAAGCATGCCATAAATCACATTTCAGAATAGGGACTTCTTGTCGGCCCTTTGTTTTTTTTTCCATAAGATAAAAAAAGGAAAGCCTACCTCTTGCCAGGACCGCCAAATTTGTGAGATATTTTGTTCCCTGCAAACTGAACTTTGTTGTAGTTCACTTTAATTTCTACTAGAATGCAGTACAATTCATTTTTTGGACTAAGTCTGTTTATAAAGTGAATATTAGAAATGGGACCTCTTGCCGTTATGGCAAAATAACATTGAGGACAAGAGGTTACTTTTCTCAGACCGTGCAGAGGCTAACAAAATTATTTATTTTGACCTTTTAATTCTTCAATTCGATATTTTAACGGATATTGTCCTGTTCTATGTTAAACAAGGTATAACAATTGATAAAAACCTGAATTTCGATATTTTCGATCTTACCTACTTATATTAGCCGTACTGAAAATTTTGCATCGCCTACAAGAGGTTCCTTTTCGCTTTCCACGTCACATATATTTTAAGCTAAGAAGGATCATGAAGAAAACCATAAGCCGTGGACACCTATCAACCACATAGGCCTAGTTGAATGAAAGGTCTTGATGTAAAACTACCCCTCAATTAAGGATTGGATTTTTTAATTTAAAAAATCTTGAATCTTGAATTTATTTACACTTTATTAAGTAAATTAAGTCCTGGCTGTTACATTTATTTTTCCTACTTATAGTTTGTTTGTTTGTACTTTTTCCTGTAAGTTATTTTTTTATTCACATCATATTGTTTTGTTACGAGAAAATTATTAGGTAGTTTTCATCCTGCCACACCTAGTTGAATGCAAAAATACAAGTTACACAAGATATTTGCATTACAGTAACTTAATATAACAATAAGTACGATTGAGTATGGTACATGTATAGGGGAACTTAATCCATTGTAAGTGTAAGTAACGGTGTTAACAGTAGATTTAGAGACCACAATATTCTCTTTTGTGTTTTCTTGCCCTGTGGCGAAGCATAGGCAAAACAACTAGTTGCAATACAGTAAAGAAAATTAAACATGATGACCAGTATGATTTCCAAATGTAAAAGTGGTGACAATCAAGACTCGTGTAGGCCTATCCTATAACCAACGAGTAGGCTACTGGTGACCAAAATATAATGTGATGGTTGAATCAAACAGTATAAATTAGGCCTAAAGAGAAAATGTTGACGACCACGATACCTTCTTTGCGTTTGCAGTTATATTTTGCCGAATCGAGTCAGATTCCAGTAAGTTTAAGTTACATCATCAACCTTTCTACATTTTGAATTACCTACATTTAAATAAGTTAGGTATAGGTGTTTATAAAATTGAGCTTATCAATGCGAGTTTTACATACTTGTCTATCTTAAGCTAAATTGGGTGATACGAAGCACTTCTTCCTCTAGCATATTTTGGGCAGCATAAGTAACTTAAGTTAAGTTACACTATTTCATTTCACACTACATCACTCGAGACTGCTATTATTATTCCAGTAACAACAACAAAGTAAACGCTGCTGGAATTTGATCTGTCATTCGATACTGGAATAGTAAATCGCTCGCTACCTAACTTATCGCATTCCATTAAGTTAACTCGAATGCGAGCTCGGAATGTAAACGCGCCTTTAGGTCTATGGGGGTTTGTCAGAGTCCAATGTTTATAACAATTAATTAATTTAACTCATATGTGTATAAGCTTGTAAATAAATATGAAACAATAAAGATTTTCTTATTTCTGATATTTAGTAAAAAAAATATTATTATGAGGTTAGCTTGGAGTATCCTAAGATTGTGCAATAACTTAAGATATTTTTAGAATAATGTTCAAGTTTTTTTATCATGATAAATTTAAGTTAAGTTACTCGTTCTAATGCTAAAATTAATTGATGTACCAAAACTTATTATTTCCAGCAAAATAAAATGAATTATCATTAGTACATCAGCAGGGTTCTAAGTATGAACAAAGAAAATCGCCACTGACGTCGGCACACCACCAAAGGCACTGATTACACAACATGCACCAACTGCTGAGAGGAGAATAGACATAAGAAACTGTACAGAAATATTACTTCGACAATATAATATAACTTATACAATTTTAGTAAAATAGATACGAAATATAAATGGCGTGGCAAGGAAGTTAGTAGCCAGTTTTTCATCCTATGACTGCAGGACGCAAGCAATCTAAGTAGGCCTAGGTCGCAACCTGCAAGTGTATCTTTTCCTTTGTGATTCCTAAGACAACGTTCTAAAGGTAGGTAGGCCTACTCTTATACAATGCAAATTCCCCATGATAAAGGGGATTTTCCCATAGAAAGCCTAATAGAGGTCATTCACCTCACAGGACTATAAAAACCTGCATACATGGAAAAACACTTACTAGAGCCTATTGTGGGACTATGAAACTCAATTATAGAATTAAAATTTCACTTTTGTTCAATAACAAAATACGATTAAACTTAATCCACTTCACACTATCACCGCGACCACAGATGAGTTTTCACTGACGGCCAGCAGTACGGCAGAAGGGACGAGCAGACGCCATTTTGAAGTGTAGTGACGGTAGAGTACGAGACGCCTAACCTCTAGACGCTGATCGATAAAATGACGTCGGCTGCTACAGATAAAACTGTGCACAAAGTTCACATTGTAATCATGTGACACAACTAACCTAAATCACATTTTCTCGAACATAATAATTATTGATGAACCTGGAGAATTTCATATCACTGACGTCGTAACACCAACACCACTGTGGAAAGAAACACATTACATCGCTATGATCAGATCAGATCACCTGAAAATTGGCTACTTACTTTGAACATAACCGGGTTCGCGAAATTTCATAAATATAAATTAAACAAACTGAACTGAGAGAGTTTGTGAAACGTGCGGCGGTGTGTGCGTCAAAGCGAACAGTTTAAGAGCTTGTTGTTTAGCCGACGTCCACACACACACGGACGGACGGACGCGATTCAAAAGAAAAGTGGGGGGGATAGATGAATCACCCCCTCCAAACATTCCGACCCGTCCCTGCCCACTCCCCACTACCCTCCGCGAACCATGGACAAGGTCGTTCACGTTCATCCAGAGATCCACAAAGGAAAATGACCCCACCTGCTAGGTGTAATTGAAATTGTCAAGAAACAGAAATTAAGGAAGGGCTAGGGTCAGAGAGTGCTACAACATCTGACAACGCATTGAAATTTTATCAGGATTTTCCCTAACGTAATTTGAATTTTATTGGAAGCAAAGGCAAACATGCGATGGAAGATAGAAGTCGAGGCTCAAGGAGACGAAACAACAAGTTCAATGTTTTATGCCAAGGTCTCCACGCAGCGTCTTTTCCCTTGTTACTCCTAACGATGATCATTTGAAAATACCAGGAAACCATTGTTTATTTTTAAAACGCGTCACTGCTCCACATCCCAAAAATTCTATGAAACCGTCCACGTTTCTATAAAATTAACATTATTGTCAATTTAATTCAACATTATTCATTATGGAAATCATTATGAGAAATCTGCATTAAGTTAGGTACCTATACTACATCGTATTCATGTATTGATTTACAAATTGTAACAAATAAAAACTAAAGTAATGCTGGGATTTTAATGCTTGGTAAATTTTTAAACTCGTATAAACCTGATAATCTATTTCCCTTGTATTAGTTACAAATAGCATTACTGTAGTTGCAAAAACACTCATGTATTTTTTTTATCGCAATCACTTAGTATTATTTCCTGTAATATCAAGGACATTTTAAAATTGAAACTCTTTCATTAGGAATTATATTGGAAGGAGTCATAAGAAATCAAAGGAAACAAATTAAATTAGAATTTGGCGTTTGATTTGGCACACAAGACCAGAGAGCACATGGTTGCGGGCACGGGTACGAGCTACGAAACGTCACGATGACGTCACATAAGTGTAGTAGTGCCAACCGTAGCGTTGAACAACGGAAACAGTGGTCTCAACCTATGGTGAAATTGTCAACCTGAACCTGAGTTTTACCGTTTTACCTGGTTTTGCCTACGCAAAATGCAGATTGCAGAAAGCTCGCAGACACATAGTAAACGACAAACGTATAGTCGGTCCTATGATCAAATCTGAAGGTCGCTAGTTCGATTTTAAGCTAAATTGTAATAATAACAATAAATATTAAACGTAAATTAACTGATTACTCTCAACACGCTTATATTTTAAATTATATAGTTCTGAAAGACAGGTTGTATAATTTACGCTAAACTGTTATGCAAACAATGGTAATTAGCGGACATTAGGCTACATGTAACGGGGAGTTTTACCGCCAAACCAAAAAATGTGCGAACAAAATCCGCAACCAAAAGCAATAAGAGTTTTCCACACTGCATGACAGAAATGGTATTGTATGCTGGGACATCAGCTGTTGGGACGCCATTTTGCCCTCGATCGCCCTTTAAACCCTGTCAGAGGGGTATTGTAGTTTCGCCGTTTCACCGTGCAAGCCAGAGACTGTGCAGGTGGCGAAATTGCTCCATCGATCGGGGAAGACTTTTAATAGCCGAGGTACGAATATAAACCGGACAATGGGTAGGCCTACTGATGGGGCAGTGGAAGGGTTAAAATCTAGTTGACGCATCGTGATTGCATAATCCTTCCTTTCGTAGGGAGGTGTAAAGGGTATTTTCAAGAAGAGATCACAATTGAAACTTACTGTGAAATAGGTGGTGCAAGAAATCCCAAGGTACATACATACACGTAATAAACCGAAATGATTCGGTTTACTTACAATAGTGAGGGAAACACAAAAATGTACTTTATTCTAACAAGAATGTATGTCCCTCCAGACTATACCCTTAGCAAAATTGCAAAGGCTATCATCAGACTTGCCTAACGCCTTTGACCAACATAAACTCACAGGTATGAATCCTAATTTAGCCGAAACTAACCGAACCCTAATTTCTTGGGTCAAATTTCAATAGTGACGTCACTTTTATTGAAAATGCCGTGAAGATGAAAAATGAACTTTCTGTGTTAAATTTACCTAAAATATATGTGTCAAAGTGCTACTGTACATGGTGTTTTACGAACATACACGAGCGCCGATCACTATAATTCCATTAAACAACTTTATTTGAGGAATCCAACAAATGAAAATGGGCTCAACTACTAACGAAAAGCTAATAAATGTAGTTTTCCAATCCCCGAACGAGGCCAGTGGGTCAATTACGCTCGGGGAAACAGTGTTTTCCCACGAAATAGCGAAAGGGAAAGAGTTTTGATTACTGTCAATGACACGCTACTTGCTATTGAAGTATTGATGAGACAATCACAATACATAGGCAGGACCCCAACTCGAACCCTCTATAGTCTGTGTGATGGAACCTGTATTCTGACCTTCCGGTCTACCTCGGCATCGTATGCCAGTCCTCAGGTAGACGGAGAGTCAGAAGACAAGTTCGATCACACAAACTATAACAATGAATAAAGTGCCGTAGTATTCTTTACAGTTTGGATGTCTTTAATTTATATTTAGACGAACAGACGTTTAAAGTGCATTCTACGATCTTACAATATGCATACCTAAAAATATGACTTTGAACCATTGACTATAGGAAAGTTGATGTAGGGTCATAACAGTTGCTCACAACAAGTTATTTCTTATTCCATCAGTTTGACTTGTGAAAAAATCATGTATTAGACAGAAATCAGTAATTTAGATCAGCACGGTGGCTCACATCATCCATGACGAATTTGATTTTAAAACTGGCGCCAGCTTTACAAGGGGATGGATTGTCTAGTTGTATTAATAGTCAAAGGTTTGAACGATAAAAATATATTTTTGGATTTCTACATGTAAAGTTCAAAGATAAGCAAGGACCAGTACGTGGACCATTTCAACGTCTTGTGACGCATTTCTTTTTGTATCTCGATGACCATGCGTCACGTACGTCAACATAAACTTGTTGTTTACCTCCCACCAGTCAGACAACAGACAATAGAACCATTCTACTCGTGTTTACTGTGATTTCGTCATGTTAAACAATCGACTGCGTAGTTTATAGGAATAGACTTGTTGCAAACAATGACTAAGAGAGAAACTGGAGTTAAACAAATAAGAGGAATTTCGTTGCTAGAGCCGATATTTGTTACACTTTAGGCTAAAATGCACTTTTCAAGGTTTTCAGGGGGGGGGGGCTAGTTTGAAATATTGACTATGCGAAAATCGTGAGGGTGTTTTAATTAGTACACAACTAAACTAAGAATAAGTAAGGGAATCAGTAACGACGATGAGCGGTAACACAAGTTTGGTGTTTCACATAGTGTTTCACAGTAGCGATTGATTACGGTAAGTCTAAAAGTGAAAAGTTCGAAGCCTTAAAAAATTAGATGCCTGTAAAACGTAAAAAAACTGGCGACTGGTTTACTAGCAGACACTGACTAATTTGTGTCACATCTGCACCTCGCGAGTGTATAGTTTATCAAACGTGTAACTGTCACACCAATTTGTAAAAATGGTGTCATTTGATAAGATACATTTTCAAATTGAAGATCTGCGATCGTGTAATTTTATGTTACTTCAGCTGCAATTTGGCGATAATTCCTACACTTAGGTTGCATGTGGAAGCTGTAAAAGTCTCAGACAAAGAGAGGTGATGACGTCACCCCCATGACTCAGTATGACTCATCGTTGTTGTCACCTGGTAGCCTATGTACCAGAGAGTATATAGTAGCCTATGGCATAGTTATAAAGTAGCATGTGGTAGTCAATATTGAGGAATCTACCAACGTTCGCTATCTTGACCTATCTTTTCCATGATAATAATATGTTCTCGAAAGATAAATAGGTGCTAGGACGGTAAGAAGGTTTTTGTGATTTTTTCATAAAATGTTCGTATAAGGTTACGCTGTGTCCTTTGATAGGTAACTTTTCTAGAATTAAAAACATCACTCCCAAAAAATTGTGAAAAATTTCCGAAATCTAAAAAAAAATCACAGTATAATCTCTTAATTTGTATCATTAGGAAATATTTGTGTCTTAGAAGAGTACAGAGTAATTACAAAAATATTAACCAAAAACGTATGAATTGAAAATTACACTGTATTTGTAAATAAATTTTCTTTAATAATTATATTTCCCACAATGCACACAATTATTATACAATTTTCCACTGTAAATAAGCTTAGTCTATCTAAATACACGTCAATTGTCTACCTAAACAAAGATTATTTGGAAATAAACATCAACATAGTATTACAGTACAGTGTTGCATTAGCATTACGTATCAGAATAGCGACCAAGGTCAATGTGCAATCTGCTCACATATGATTTACCATGAAACAGCGGCTACCATAACACTTGTGTAACACGTGGAGGTGATAAGAATAATCAGTCACCCCGCCTGATAACCGGAAACTGCTCTGCCGTCGCCACTACTTCCGCCCGTCATGGCGGGAAAACAGTTTGAAAATATTGCGTGAGTGTTGCAGTGGTGAAAGAAAATCCTCAAGTTATCCATAACACTCAATAGTGAATACCATGACAAAAAGAGTACAGTACTCCGTTTGTATAGTTAAACCATAGATACAATATACTCCCTTCTTCCCTTGGTAGATTAATCATATTTATGGAACAGCTGATGGCAATGTTATTGTTAGTTCTGTCCGGTGCACTGTAGAGTCGTGTTTTGTTTACCACTCTTTTCTTGTTATTTCAGTCATTTAATACCTCGTTTATAGACTTTGGGTACCACAAGTAGACTTTAATAGTGTATAAAGTCAATGATAGTAGTGTTTGTTGTAAAATCTTTAGCTTTTTACGGATAGAAACACATGCTTTATAATGTCTATAAGGACGGTTAACCTATAAAGGGAAATGTCTATTTAAGAAGTAATGTCGCGGAAGAAACTAAGTATTCGTCAAAAACCTGAATTAAACCTGCTGGAAACAGACAGCAAAACGCGTCCAACATTTTCAGTACCGTAT